ACAGAATGAGTGGACTCTCTTACTTATAACTGTACAACTTTGGTGGAATAGCCAAGAGGAAGGGGTTAAGAATGATGGGACAGCATTCTGATCTCCCACCCTTTAGAGAATATTCTAAGTTCTCACCTCTAGCCTCAAGGGGGGAAAAAAAAAAAGAACTTTAGGCCATATTTGTAAACTTACACACAACAAAATAGTTTGATTTCTGACAACACTTCGAGGTAGGAAAAAAGTCCCTGAGACATCCTGCCCACTGACATCTCTCTACCTCTAGCTATGGTTCCCATCTCCTTTCCTCTGGCCCTCACCATGGTTCAATCCCTACACATCTTTCTTTCTCTTTGCTACTGTCTCCCTGATCTGAGTCCTTCTAAAACAAACTTTTCAATCTGCTGTCAGTAATCCTTCCATAACTTCAGTCTGTATTCCTAAATCTCGCTCCGAAGTTTACTGATTTCTTGTTACCCACGTCGTCAAATCCAAAAAATTAAAAAAAATCAACAATGCCTCCACCCCCAACCCTATTCTCTCTGGTTGCCCTCACTCAACTAATTCTGACTCTTGCCCTGATGTCCACCTTACCATCTGTAGTCAGAGCAAGCTGAAATTTACTGCAGATAAATCCTATTTTTCACCTGAAGATCCTGACCTTTGTCAAAGGGCAATGAAACCTCAGCCTGGTGCTTTGAATCACTGTCAGCTGCTCCCATTTTAGAATACATGAGTTTTCAAATTCTCGAGGTGGTAAATTTTGGTTGGGCAAGGATACAAGGATCCTGAACACCATTAAGTGGGAAGGGTTATAAAGGCTGGGATTGACTGATTTCCCTTCTCCATATTGTCCAGGAATCACAGGTCATGACTTCCTGTTCCATTTCCCACAGGTATCTTCTCTTCCCCTTTTCCTTTCTTCATCTCCTGCCTACTCACTAAAGCCCAGGTCATGCCCACTGCCGAAGCACTCACAGATCTACATACTCTCTTCCCAGCTTCTGCGGTATACACGGTCTTCCTCCCTGCCCCTCTCATTTATGTAGCAGAGAGACTCGTGCTCCCCATTTGCTCTCTAACTTCTTCCATAAAATCCTTGAGGGCAAGTATGTGCCTGCTTCCCACTTGACAGTTACAAGGTAAATATGGGACCAATATTCCAGACTTCTAAACTGACTGAACTTCCTCTTCATCAGTGGTACTCTTTGGGCTATTCAGCTCTGCGGGCTTTGGTTGCACAGAACTTTTAACTTTGAGTAAGAGGGGCATTCTGAAATGTTGCACGTCCTTCTGTCACCTACAAAGCCATTCTACTGATATTAATAGATTTACCCCAAAGAGAACATGGGAAAGTAGAAACAAATTCAAATAGGAGATGAGTCCTACTATTCTCATTTTAGGGCCTACATGAAGCTGGGAGATGGAAGTGGAAGGAGACTCGTACTTTTATACAGTATTGCCTAATTGTAATCATATTCATTGAAACATTGATATTTGGAACCAAAAAAAAAAAAAGCAGGATTTTAAGAAGAGGGGTTATTGAAACTCGCGTTTTTCTCCAAGTAATTTACAAGTCTCTGTACCAAATTAAAGTCCTCTTACAGCGACCCAGTCCAGGTTCCGAGAGACCTCCAGTCAGTCATCTGAAGGCTCTGGAGCAGCCTTCTCCGTCTCCACCCCCACTTCAATATCCCCATCTCTTCCCGCTCAGGCTTTTAAGATTGTTCGTAGGCCTTGGGCCCAGTGTAAGCGGTTCAGCACATTTCTGCAGTTAGGCAGGACCCTAAGTAAATCCCCAGTGATAAACAAGAGCACCAAGTCACAAGTTGCTGGGCGGAGGGGGGAGGGGGGAGGAGGGGGGCGGTAATGAACTTTGCCGCTGCAGGCGGGCCTGTCACTCCAGCTGACAGCAAGCGCCTTCACCTTCAAGTTCCTTACCAAGGCAACACCCCCTGAGGGAAAGTGCTTAGCTGGGAGGAAATGCACGCTAGCGCTGAAAAAAGAAAAAGGCGTGCGGCGTCTCCCTGCGAAGCACCCGCCCTCGAGGCCGCTTTTCCAGGCCCGCGGCAGGTCGAGCGCTCGGGCCGTGGCCTGAGGAGAGGGGCGCACGCTACCTGGCGTCCGGCTCCTCCTCCGACTCCGCGGCCGTCTCGTCCTCTTCGCTCTCCGACTCCTCGTCGCTCTCCAGCCTTCGGGGGGGCCTCCTCGTCCCCGTCGGAGCCGAGGGGGCTCTCCGCGGCGTAGGTGCTGTCGCTGCTCGCCATCGTGCCTCTGCCGGGCCGGAGCCGGAGCTGGAGCCGGAGCCGCCCGCGCGCGCCTGGTGTTCTCCCTCTGACTGCGTCTCTGGCCCCGGCCCGGCCCTGCCCCAGCGGGCGGCTCGGGTTCCCAGCCCCGGGGGCGGGCTAGCCCCGAGACTTTAAATAGAAGGCGTCAAAGTTTCGCCACCGAGCTTCTGGGGCCCGCGCTCAGCGAGTTCTCCTCCCCCCGCGTCTGCCAACTTCCCCCACGCGGCCCTCCCCGCCCCAGTTGAGGCTAATCCCCGGCGGCCCTTGGGGCAACTCTTGATCACCACTCGAAGCGGCGGCAGGCTCCAGCGGCACCAGGGAGCTGAAAGGAGGAAAGGCACCCAGACCCCGCCTCTCTTCCCTCCAATGTGGCTTTGCTAGCTTGTACGTTTGGTGCCCAACTACCTGATGGCCCCTTCATCCAAACCAAGTAACTACTCCTTACTGAGCAGAGCGCTTGTTAGTGCAGGCACTCTGCTAAGGGTTTCCGTTTCATGACCCCCTCACAATTCTGCTGTGGTTACGTTTAACTGCAATCCTGATTTTCAAGATCAGAAAACTGAGGCTCAGAAGAGCTTGACAAGCTGACTGGCTCAAGGTCTCTTGCCTAGTGTAAGTGGTCCAATGGGAAACAAAGCGAGGTCTGCCATTTTCAAAGCGCAGTTTTCAACCTTTGTTCCTTATTTTAGGCTCCTTTTGTGTCTGCAAATTAATTAATTGTGTGTTCTCTTCTTTAGTGGCCTGTAGACTGTTCGGCCACATTTTTTTAATCTCCCCCAAAAACCTTCAAGAGAAATAATTTTCCTCACTTTGGCCAAAGTCTAAGTTCTGTCTGAAACTCGACTCAAAGGCCCCAGACCTTGGGTTGGATCAGAGCCTGCCCAGTGCTTAAAAGCCTTCAATGGCTTCCCTATGCTCAAGGACTAAAGCCCAAGCTCCTCAAGAAGATGAACACTGGGTAACAACAGCCCACATTTGTCTGATTTCTTATATAGAACTCAGGATTCCCAACATTTATCAAGTCACACCATTGTGCCTTTATTTACACAGTTCCTTCTGCCTGAAAGGTTTTCCCAACCTTTATTTACCTGGTGACTCTCCATTTAAGATCACCACCTTTCTCTGAAAAGCCCAGGTTAAGTTCAATACCCATTTTGGGTTCCATTATCCTATATTCAAATCATTTTTGTGTCTCTTTGCCTCAGTACACTCTATAAATTTTTTATTCATCTTTTTCCACACCATCCCCATCTCTTACAAGCCCAGAAGCAAGCAACGTACTTGGCAGAGTAGACACTTAATGTTGCCTGAAGAAAACAGGACCAGACCTGCTCAATACATACAACAGGTAGAGATATATTTATATGAGAATGATTTCATGGCCAGAATAGCTAACATTTATTTTTAATTACAGTAAATTCTATTCACAGTTACTAAATATGATGAACGTAAGTTCACCATTTACACTAGCTTGTATGTGTACGTTAAGTCTGCGAGCAAAGAACTGCAGATAGCTCAGATACAGTACAAAAGTATCAGCTGGTGTGTATGGGAAGGAAAGACAGAGGAGTCCAGTCTTCCAGTTCATTAAACCAGGCTCAACAAGTTATTATCTTAACATGAGCTAGGCTTATCCCACTAGTAATCCCAAATGACTGCTCACCTAGGACAAAAAGAGTTCAATCATTGGGGGAACCTATTAAACACTAATCAAAACTATAGGAAGCTGCTGATTATTCCTTCCATTTAACTCAAAATTTCTTGGAAACACTAATTAAAGTTGAGATTTATTTGCAAAGATCCTAGTTCAAGCCAATCCAAAATTTAGAACTGCAGTACAGATTACATATTTGTAACTTTTTAACACTACCTTAACAATGCATGCAAATATATAGAAATGGCCACATCAGTACAAACAGAAAATAAATGTATTATTCACCGCACAAGTAATTCAAACTGAAAATAATTTAAAAGTCTAAAAAATTCCCTCATATATTAACAGCCCACTTATCTGACATATTTGTCTATCACAAGGTACATAATCTTAGGCTCCAGTCTATTGATTTAGAAATGGGTATAAATTTATTAACATTAACTTCTTTATCTACGTGTTACAGCAAGACAGCTAAAAAGTAACAGCAGTAAGATAATGGGGAGAAGCATGCCACTAAGCACTGAGAAAACAGTGACAATAAGAGTCCATACCACGGTAAATTAATGTTAGGGCTTTCTTAGGAAATGTCCCAATACAGTAGAGGCAGAATACCCTGCAAGCTTACACATCCCTGAGAGCTACACAGTATTACCACAGAGTACTAGGAGTGTTTTTTATTGCTTTTAATGATGATATCGAGTCATCACTAGAATATTAATTATACTCAATAATTCTGATAAAGAAAAGTTGCACAATGTATATTTTAGGAAAATTTCCCCAAAAAAGGAACTAATGTGTAATGTAAAGCTCAATTGCTTCAAAAATGTTAAACATGAGTAATATAAAAAATTCACCTATGTGGAAAGCTTCATTCCTAATGATGCCAGAGAAATAGGGTACTGATGCAGTTAGCTGGCTTAACCAAGAATGAACTCAAATCCAAGATTATCTGTATAATCTATATCATCAAGCATAAAAGTCAGATTCAGTTAGTTCTAGATGGTAACTACAACCTCAATCTCAACGCAAAAGTAAAGACTAGCACAGAAAAAAAAAACCCACGAAAACAATTTCCATATATAAACTTTATTCCATATGACATCATACAAAAATTTAAACTTAAAGAAGAAAATGAAAATATGCACCTTTACAAGTCAAAGAAAAGCAAAAGTCTTAGCATTTGAATTGGTCTGCAAAAAACCTAAATACATTAGAGGTACAAATTGTACTACAGCAGGTGTAAAAGAAGTTGTACATAGTTTTTCTGAAAAAGTTAAAATTGTTTTCAAGATTATTTTTCATATTTAAATGTACAGGCACTGACCAATTTACAAATATTTACATCAACCAAAAAAACCTTAATAAACACTGTAGCTTTTCTTTTAGCAGCCACCACTACTTCTTCATATGGGAAAAAAAATACTAAAAAAGTCATCTTTACAAACATTAAGCTTTCATTTATAATAATTTTATGTCTTACCTAAAACATTTCATAGTGGCTTACTGCCTAAAAATTCCAGTTTAGATTACAATCCTATAATTGTATACAGAAAAAGTCTGATACTGTCAATAGGATATAATCTCAACTTTGATCTTTCAGTTTCTGTTGCTTCATGTCACAGGGAAAATAAAAGGCAAGAAAACATGAAATAAAGTAAAAGTGCACAATGCACTAAACTATCATAAAGCACAGGGGACTTATAATCTTTTCAAAATGTCTACAATGAACTAATTCTTTAAAACAATTTACTAACTGCTGAACAATACAGAGTTAGTGCTCTTATTACTACAGTGCAAAATGTACTGTTTTTCAACAAAAAATTTAAAGCAATCTCAAGAGTACATCAAAAACACGTGAGGTACTAATGAAATGCTAATACAGACACACCCAAAGCCTCAGTCTATCCTGGTGAGTCAAGTGAAGACTTAAGGCAATTGTCCAGTATTTCATGCCTTTACAATGATTTCAGTGAAATAACAGATTTCATTTTGCTTCAAGTAACTGAACAACTGGCTTGAATCTTCACTTTACTAGAACAGAGAGGCAACAAACTATCTATTTTATGTTATACATTAAGTATGTATTAATCAGTCCCTTTCCAAAATTCTACACATCTCTTCAGTATTAGCATGTGGTATGTTAATTGAAGTTTTATCAAAAGACTTTTATTTGTTCAGATAATTCCCCCAAAAAATATTTTATCTGATCTCCTGAAAAGTCATGCCATAATATTACTAATCAATGTAAACATTTTCAAAAATACATCTTTAAATCAAAGGGTTTTATTAGGAAATGTCATAATAAAATATGCAATCTTTATATAAGTATGTCCTCTTAAAAATAAAACATGAAAACAAGAACAATTAAAAAGAAACCATGATGGAGGTAAACAAAATGCATTATGATGTTACCATTGTTCTTTATTTCTCAGAAGATTTTATTAAGAAATAGAGGCCAGTTATCTTTTCAGGACAGGAGCTCTTAAAGGTAGTATACTGTTCAAATCTCTTTTGTTTTTCAATCTGTGCCAAGACTGGGAGAGAAAGAAAAATCATTCTTAAAACATAAAATATAACTGGAACAAAAGACTGAAAAGAGAATGTTAACAGTGGTTTTCCCTAGGTGGTAAAATTGGGGTAATTATTTTCTTCGTGTTTTTATCTCCCAAGTTTATTTCTGCCATCAGAAAAGAAAATGTTATTTTAAAACACTATACCTGTGTGATTCCAATTCATTGAAAAAGAAATGGACAGAGAGGTGGTACAAAAAGATGTAACTGACAATTTTAACATTTATTCACAGATTTAAACTATTTCATCTATAACAACAAGGTAATCTAGACAAAACCTCTGGGTCTGAGAGGGTGTGAGAAAATTAATTATTTGGTTGACTAGTTTGCATCTAGTAAGCTTTTCTAATCAAAAATAGTATTATGGAAAGAGTAAATCTCTAATAAACCACTTTATACTTTTGAAAAAGAAGAGTAAATATAACTTGGAAAAGAAAAATAGAAAAAATTGAAATTCTTATTCACAGGCTAAAACTCTGGCTCACTACTTGCTGACTGCGTATCTTTGTAGTTTATTCTCACTTCAGTTGTTCAACTGACTGAAATTATTGGTTTTATAGCTAAGCAACCCTAAATGAAAGCTCACCCATCACAATGAAAGCTCACACATCAACAATATAGCAGTGCTATTTTTGAGTTCTCAATTTGTTATGATAGACAAAAATATTCCCTCTTGGATATTTGTTTTGCCCTGCAGAATTCCATTAATTTTAAATTTTCTAATCTGGCTGACAAACCGAGAGGGCCTAATATGGAAGGACAGCTTGTAATATGATACACTTGCATTTTTAATTATCACCAAAATAAAATCCACTTGTATGTCTAATGAGAAAGTATTCCTCTGAAATGACCTTCAGAGTTCTCTGATCTTTTTCTTCATGAAGCATTCTCTCCTATATGTCTCATAGTATATATTTCCATCAATGTGTTTCTACACTATACTGTGGAACTCCTTGAAGAAAGAAACCACACCTAACAAAACTGCTGATGAATCAATTCACACTATGGACTAAAGAGCTAAGCAATAAACGACAGTTTATATACATATGGCTGAAGTTTATATACACAAAATGTGTGTATACAAATACATTTTTTTATTTTTTTTACTTTCTCAAAATATAAGCAAAGATAAAAAGATGCTCAAATTCACTGTTACAGTGGGGTATGCAGAAGAAAAATCATGGAACATCAGCTCTTTTCTAAAGCTACACTAAGTTCCCTGAAATTTTAAGGAGAGAAATTAGTCCAACAGATTTCACTCACTCATTCTGGGAGCTTAATTGGCTCACTAAGGAAATGCTTACTTCCATCAAAGTGAAAGCCATGTGAACGAAAACAGATTTCTCTGAAGGAAAAGTATACCTATCTATCAAGTAATAAATTCCCTATTGTGCCACACTAATGACTTCTTAACACAGAAACCAAGGTTACTCTGTCCTATTATAAATATATTTTTTCATTTTCAAACCATACTATTCACTAATGTTTCTAGAGTTAATCTGAAGCATAATTTACCTTCAAAAATTGATCCTTGATCATGTCAAATTTCTGCTTTTCATGCACAGCTCTGGCTGTATTTGTTCCATCAAAAGGTTCTGCAATATTAAATGTACATATAAACAAGAAATTACTAAAATCAGGTCTTCAGTTTTTATATTAGGTTGAACTATATGAAACTGCCAATATTTGATAGTTTTTAATAGCAACTGCATATTGTGAAGCCTGATCTCTTAATAGATATGTGATATGCATATAAAAATAATTTTATTATGAACTATCTAATAAGGTAGATGGAATTCAAGTGAGAGGACAACTAAAAACAAACTCATCAGCATATATATGTTAAGTCTAAATCACAAAAGTGAGTAAGATTTTTGAAGAATCAGAGGGGGTCAAGGACCTATCCTTACCCTAAGGAAAATAAAAAATAAAGAATTATCAGAAAGAATTAAACACTGTACACAAAAAAGGTGGTCATGTCAAATATTATAGAAAAGTAATTTAGAAGATATGGTCCATATATACAACGGAGTATTATGCCTCCATCAGAAAAGATGAATACCCAACTTTTCTATCAACATGGACCGGACTGGAGGAGATTATGCTGAGTGAAGTAAGTCAAGCAGAGAGAATCAATAATCATATGGTTTCACTTACTTGTGGAGCATAAGGAATAACACGGAGGACACTGGGAGATGGAGGAGAGAAGTGAGTTGGGGGAAATCAGGGGGAGACAAACCATGAGAGCCTGGGGACTCTGAGAAACAAACTGAGGGTCTTAGAGGGGAGGGGGTGGGGGAGTTGGGTGAGCCTGGTGGTGGGTATTGGTATTATGGAGGGCACATACTGCATGGAGCAATCGGGTGTCGTGCATAAACAATGAATGCTGGAACACTGAAAAGAAATAAAATAAAATGGAAAAAAAAAAAAAAAGACCACAGATTTGTACAGCAGGAGAAAAGGGTACCTCTGAAAGGATAGAGGATAGAAAACAATGCAGAGTTACGGTGTAAGTAGGTGGTTTAGAAAAGGATACAGTTAGTACAATAACTTGCAGGAGAAATGTGGCAGAAAAAGGAGAGAGAGAAACAGGATAGCAAGCACAGAAGACAGAAAGAGAACAAAGGAAAACTTTATATGTGTGTCTCTTTAACATTACCTTCCACATCTTCAACCCCAACCCATTAACTCTTCACCCACAAGTTAAGAGAGAAGAACCCATATGTAGACATTAGGAAACTATCTATGAGAAGACAAGGAAACTGGCGTGCCTGGGTGGCTCAGTGGGTTAAAGCCTTTGCCTTTCGGCTCAGGTCATGATCTCAGGGTCCTGGGATCGAGCCTGGCATCGGGCTCTCTGCTCAGCAGGGAGTCTGCTTCCTCCTCTCTGCCTGCTTCTCTGCCTACTCGTGATTTCTGTCAAATAAATAAATAAAATCTTGAAAAAAAAAAAAAAGAAGACAAGGAAACTGAGGATGCTAGTGAGAAAAAGAAGATAACTAAAGGCATTAAAATGAGATGAGATAGCTGTAATAATGCCAAAAGAAGGTAAAAATGACTCGAGTTTAAGAATTTTGGCACGGGGGCACCTGGGTGGCTCTGTCTGTTAAGAATCTGATTCTTGACCTCAGCTCAGGTCCTTATCAGGGTCATGAGTTCAAGCCCTACGTTGGGCTCCATGTTCGGTGTGGAGCCTTCTTAAAAAATTTAAAAAATTAAAAAAAAAAAAGAATTCTGGCACTGTAAAAGAGAAAAAAAAAGTACTTACAAGAGCCAGTAGAATCAAGAGTATTTTTCAAGGATGAGAAGATCCATGTGTGCTCTAAAGATGAAAGAGAATATGACTAGAGAGAAAGGAAATGAAATTGCTAGAAGGAAGAAATGTAATGGAGAGGAAAGGCCTAGAAAAAGTGTGGAAGAATAGGAAATCTGATGAAGGGGTTAACTCATTTGTCAAGTAATTTAAGCAGGCCCATAAAAAAGCGTGTGTGTGTGTGTGTGTGTGTGTGTGTGTGTGTATTTGACTGCTTAAGAAGGCTATTTTTAAAGGAGTTTATTGTCACAGTATACGATACTTTGTTTTACTGCACTTTATTGCACTTCACAGATACTGTGGGCTTTTTTTTTTTTTAAACAAATTGAAGGTCTATGGCAACCCTATGATGTGCAAGTCTAGCAGTGCCATTTTTCCAACAGTATTTGCTCACTTTGTTGTCTCTATCACGTTTTGGTAATTCTCATACTATTTCAAACTTTTCATCCTTATTTTATCTGTTACAGTGATTTGTGATCAGCCATCTCTAAGGCTGTTATTATTATAATTGTTCATGGGCACCATGACCACACGCACACAGGATAGCAAACTTAGGAAATGCTGTGTGTGTTCTGACTGCTCCACCCAGTGACCATTGCCCCATTGGCTCCCTCTGCTCAGGCCTCCCTATTTTCTCTGAGACACATCAGTATTGAAATTGGGCCAGTTAATAATCCCATGTTGCCCTCAACTTTGAGGGCATTATTGGGGCATAATTGGGATTATTATCCAAGTGAAGTGAAAGGAAAAGTTGCACATCTCTCACTTTAAATCAGAAACTAGAAATGATTAAGCTTGGTGAAGAAGACATGTTGAACACCGAGACCGGTCAAAAGCTAGGCCTCTTGGACAAGTTAGCTAAGTTGTGCATGCAGGAAAAGTTCCTCACGGAAATGAAAAAATGAAAAGAGCTACTCCAGTGAATACATGAATATGAAAGTGAAACGGTCTTACTGCTAATATGGAGAAAGTTTCAGTGGTCTGGATAGAAGACCAAGTAGCCACAACATTCCCTTAAGCTAAAACCTAATTTAGAGCAAGGCCCTAACTCTCTTCAATTCTCTGAAGGCTGAGAGAGGTAAGGAAGCTGTAGAAGAGAAGTCTGAAGCTAGCAGAGGCCAGTTTATGAGGCTTAAGGAGAGAAGCCGTCTCTATAACATAAAAGTACAAGGTGAAGCAGCAAGTGCTGATGTAGAAGCTGCAGAAATTTATTCAGAAGATCTAGCTAAGATAATTCCCAAAGATGGCCACATTAAACAACAGATTTTCCATGTAAATGAAACAGCCTTATATTAGAAGAAGATGCTATCTAAGATTTGCATAACTAGATAGAAGTCAATGCCTGGCTTCAAAGTTTCAAAGGACAAAAGAACTCTCTTACTAGGGACTAATGCAGCTGATAACTTTAAGTTGAAGTCAATGTTCATTTACCATTCTGAAAACCTTAGGGATGCTAAGAATTATGCTTTAGCTACTATGCTTGTGTGCTATCAGTGGAACGACAAAGCCTGATGACAGCACATCTGTTTGTTTACAACGTATTATTTTAAGACCTACTATTCAGGGGTGCCTGAGTGGCTCAGTTGGTTAAGCAACTGCCTTTGGCTCAGGTCATGATCCTGGAGTCCCAGGATCAAGTCCCGCATCAGGCTCCCTGCTCAGTGGGGAGTCTGCTTTCTCCCTCTGACCTTCTCCCTTCTCATGCTCTCTTTCATTCTCTCAAATAAATAAATAAAATCCTTTAAAAAAACAAAAACAAAAACCTACTATTCAGAAAAAAAAAAAATTCCTTTCAAAATATGACTGCTCCTTGACAAGGTACTTGGTCATCCAAGAGCTCTGATGGAGATGTACAATGAGATTGTTGTTTTCATGCCTGTTAACACAATATCCATTCTGCACCCCATGGATCAAGGAGTAATGTTCAAGTCTCATTACCTTTTTTTTTTTTTTAAGATTTTATTTATTTATCTGACAGAGAGAGATCACAAGTAGGCAAAGAGGCAGACAGAGGGGAAGGGGGAAGCAGGCCCCCTGCCGAGCAGAGAGCCCGATGTGGGGCTCAACCCCAGGACCCTGAGATCACAACCCGAGCCGAAGGCAGAGGCTCAACCCACTGAGCCACCCAGGCACCCCTCAAGTCTCATTACTTAAGAAATATATGTTGTAAGGCTATAACTGCCACAGATAGTGATTTCTCTATGGATCTGGGCAAAGGCCATTGAAAACCTTCCAGAAAGGATGTACCATTCTAAATGCCATCAAGAACATTTGTGACTCATGGGAAGAGGTCAAAATATCAGCATTAGCAGTAGTTTGGAAGAAGCTTATTCTAACCGTAATGGATGACTCTGAGGAGTTCAAGACACCAGTGGAGGAACTAACTACAAATGTAGTAGAAACAGAAAGACAACTAGAATTAGAAGTGGAGTTTGAAGATGTGGCTGAATTTCTACCATCACATGATAAAACTTTAGTGGATATGACCTGCTTCTTAGAGATGAGCAAAAAAAGTGGTTTCTTGAGACCGAATCTGCTCTTGGTGACAATACTGAAAAGAAAACAAAGGATTCAAAGGATTAAGAATATTACATAGGGGTGCCTGGGTGGCTCAGTGGGTTAAAGCCTCTGGCTTCGGCTCGGGTCATGATCCCAGAGTCCTGGGATCAAGCCCCGCATCAGGCTCTCTGCTCGGCAGGGAGACTGCTTCCTCCTCTCTCTCTCTCTCTCTCTCTAACTGCCTTTCTGCCTACTTGTGATCTCTGTCAAATAAATAAATAAAATCTTTCAAAAAGGAAAAAAAAAGAATATTACATAAACTGGGTCAGTGGGTTAAGCCTCTGCCTTTGGCTCAGGTCATGATCTCAGGGTTCTGGATCAAGCCTGGCATTGGGCTCTCCACTCAGCAGGAAGCCTGCTTCTCTCCCCCTGCCCCTCTGCCTGCCTCTCTGCCTACTTGTGTTCTCTCTTTCTCAGTCAAATAAAATAAATAAAATCTTAAAAAAAAAATACTACATAAACTTAGTTGATAAAGCAGGGGCAGGGTTTGAAGAGGGTTGACTCCAATTTTGAAAGAAGTTCTACTGTGGGTAAAATGCTCTCACATGCTACAGAGAAATCATTTGTGAAAAGGAAGAGTCAATTGATGCAGCAAACTTCACTGTTGCCTCATTTCAAGAAACTGCCACAGCCACCTCAACCTTCAGCAACCATCAACCTGATCAGTCAGCAGCCATCAATACTGAGGCAAGAACCTCCATCAGCCATACAACTTGCTGAAAACTTAGATGATGGGTAGCATTTTTTAGCAACAGCCTTCTTAAATTAAGATATGTACATTATTTTAGGTATAAAACTATTGTGTACTTAATAGACTACAACATAGGGTAAACATAACTTTCATATGCAACAGGAAACCAAAAAATTCATTTGACTCACTTTATTATGTGAGTAATAAATTAGTACTCACAATATATCCAAGGTATGCCTGTGTTTTTTAATAGCATAATGCCATATGCCAAGCTATTGGATCACATCACACACAGCACTTTACAAGTATTTAATATTCAAAAGAATGCAAGTAACTAAAATAATATACACCCACTGTGCAATTTAACAAACCAACCACCAAAGCAGGAAATTTAATTTCATACTCACAAACTCTTAAGATGTTGCATATAATCCAAGATTAAAATATTCTAAATCTGATGTTTTCCTACAAACCCTGAACTTAACACTTTATTCTTTTTTACCTCAAGGTTTACAAAAGTCTTCAATTTAGCATCTGTAAGAATAATTTTGCTTATTGAAGTCCATTTTGCACCAACTCAAAGAAATATTCAACTACATGTAAATTAATTTTAGAGAACAGATTATCTTCAGGGCATTTAATTTTAAAGTAAAATAAATTTCTATTCATAAAAATCTAGCTTGCATTAAGTATCAACATTTTAATTTTAAAAGAACTCATTTTATCTTTTTTTTTATAAATTTATTTATTTGTCAGAGAGAGCAAGCAAGCATGAGCACAAGCAAGGAGAGCAGGAGAAAGAGAGAGAAGCCGGCTCTCCACCAAGCAGGGAGTTCTATGTTGGGCTCCATCCCAGGACCCTGAGATCATGACTTGAGCCGAAGGCAGACACTTAGCCGAGCTGAGCCACCCAGGTGCTCCGAAGAACTCAATTTATCTTTTTTATTTTTTTAGATTTTATTTATTTGACAGACAAAGATCACAAGTAGGCAGAGAGGCAGGCAGAGAGAGAGGAGGAAGCAGGCTCCCTGCTGAGCAGACAGTCTGATGTGGGGCTTGATCCCAGGATCCTGGGATCATGACCTTAGCTGAAGGCAGATGCTTTAACCCAATGAGCCACCCGGGCGCCCCAGAACTCACTTTATCTTAATGTAAGAACCATCACATGAAGAGAGTATTTTTTTCCACCTTCAAGTCATGAAATTAAGCTTCAATCAACTACAAGCAGGAGGGATGCATAAAGACTGCTCAAATATCATGAACTAGAAGATTAAATGCCTAAATTCATATTGATTATTTTTACAGCTAAAGAATTAAATTACTTTTAAAAATTAAACAAAAATACTCAGCCATCAAAAAGAATGAAATCTTGCCATTTGCAACAATGTGAATGGAGCTAGAGTTAATCAGAAAGAGACAAATATCGTATGATTTTATTCGTATGTAGAATTTAAGAAACAAACCAACATACAGGGCGGGTGTGGGGGGGGGGGGAGGCCAACCAAGAAAGAGACTGCTAACTATAGAGAACAAACTGATGGTTACCAGAGGGGGAGGTGGGTAGAGGGATGTGAAATAGGTGATGGGGATTAAGGACGGCACTTGTGATGAGCATCAGGTATTGTATGAAAAGTGTTGAAGCACTAACTTCTACACACAATAACTGGAATTTTAAGTAAAAAGAAGAAAAAAAAGAAAATTTTGTAACTAAAAGACTTGTAAGTCAGAATATAAATGTGTTGCTTTTAACTGAAATACAAACTGAACTTATTCAAGTAATTCTCTTAGTACCATGGTGGTAACAAGATAGTAAATGAGTAGCTGCGGAAAATCTACCTTCTACACAGATATATTTATTTCTCCATTCAATACCATCAGGCCTGGGAATGGCTTTGGCTTCACGAACTGAAATCATTTGACTGTTCCAGCTACAAGAAGAAAACATAATTGTGTTAACTATTTTCTTAATTTTCCCTTTTATTGTATTTATTTATTGTATTTACTATATGTTACTAAGTTCCACTCTAATTTTCTCACAGAATACTGAAATTTGCCTTGACCCTCAGCACCACAATCCCTATTTCCCTTTTTTTCTCCACAGCACTTACATGCTAACAATTTGCTTATTTAGTATGTTACTGTTTCTTATTTATCTTGCCTAAAGCAGAATGGGAGCTCCAAGATGCTGATTTATGTATTTTTCACTGTTCAAATAACTTCTTAGTATAAAGTAGGCACTCAATACATATTTATTGAATAAATCAAGTAATATGAAAAATAAAGCATAAGTAAGCAAAAAATGTAAAAATTATTTTCACTGTTAGCACCTCAGTAAGGATTTTTTATTTGTTAAGAGAGATGCAATCTTGTGTTGTTTTCTGGTATCATTAAATAATTGTTCACTGCATGTCCACGTATGGTTTGGGAGAAAATTTTACAATTACCCAAGAGAAGCCAGCAGATGCTGTTTTAGGAAAAATTAATACTCTATGAAAACATACTGTTATTGTTATATATCGGATGTAGCTATTAACAGTAAAGTTATATTCAAGTAAAACAATTTTTTTCTCAGCATGCCTGAAGGTAAACTGTTCAGTCTTTAGTATGCACTAACCTTACATTCTGTTTTTTAAAACTTTCTTTACAATTATAATAGCTCTGCACAAGTACAATTATCTTTTTCTCAAGGAACACTGTAAAACATATGACCATTCAGCTTGTATGCAAGAGACAAATGGGTCTGGGAAATAGTTGAAGTCTTTTTTTTTTTTTTTTTCCAGCCATATTTATCTTTGGCCCCATTGCAGTAAAAATAGAAGACCAAGGTTTGGGACCTTCCAACTCCAATACTTATCTTACCCTTCCTCTATTAATCAGATGAAAGAACAACCCCCCCCCCCAAAAAAAACACCAGAATCCCAAAGAATTGAGGGTCCAATATGGCATTTCTTTCTGAAAAACTGATTAATCTCTATCTTAAATATGCAAAAAACAAAACAAAACAAAACAAAAAAAAACACTGCATCTTGTGAAGTTTGATCATTGAAAAGGATCCTCAAAGTATGATTTTCTATTTTTTCTTATGAGGAATACAACTTAGAAATACTTTGCAAAGACAACTTTAAGTTCCTTAAGAATCATATCAGAATTTATGCTTTCTAAAAACTAAGTGGGTTATCAATGAGAAACAGTTTTTAATTACAGTAACATGTTTTAGATATCTCATGTAGAGCAGTTCCATTGTATAAACTCCAAAGAGAAAAGAAGTACACTGCTCTGTTGGTGCAGGTGTGTTTCCAAAATTTTTTAAAAATAACAATGTAAGGGTATACCAGGCTGGCTCAGTCAATAGGTAGAACAAGAAACTCTTGACGTTGGGGTCATGAGTTCAGGCCCCACAATGGGTACAGAGGTTACTTAAAGTAATAACTACTAACAATAAAACAAAATAAAATAACAATGTCAAGGGGAGAGTTATATAACCACATGCCCAAACCAAACATGATCACAGCAGAATTATGCTTTGTACTACTTTACACCACTTAAGATATATTTCACTATTAAAATGAACTTTTTTCTTGAGACTACTTGTTTCTCACTGAACTTACAGGACAGTTGAATCTACAATAAAATTAAAATTGGAAAGATTATGTTAAAAAAGGATAGACCGATTTTTCCTCAGACAAGCTTAGAATCCTGAACTACTACTGATCATCCTACTGTTAAATTATAAATTTTAATCTCTTAAATCAAAGGAACTCTCCTCACCACCATACTTATGTGAAATCCAATCCTGAATTTGTATTACATGTCCATACTTGGATCTAAACTGGGTCACAGAAACATGTGACATACCAATATTCACTTTATCATCCCTGAACAGGTATCATTTAAGCTTCAACCTATAATCAACCCAAATAATGTAATTACTTAAGTGACTTTATCACCTGAAGTACTTCATAGAGAAAAAATATATATTTTTTAAATCACTATTATTTGGACTGATTCAATCTACTGCATTTTCAAAGCACTTTTAAATATTTCTAAATTACTTAGTATCTGAAATCATAAAACCTGATATACATAACTTATATATACTACTTTTACTCTTCGAGGTGAATTTAAATGTAGAATTTCTAAGTGGCAATTTAAAAACGTTTTCCCCAAATATTTCTTTCTTTAAAACAGGCCCCAAATCAAGCCTTTTATCAAACCATATTTTTCTACCATAATTTGCTTGCCATGTAAAAATCTGTTATCATTACTCAATAACTAAAATGTAAAATAAGATATAGTCTATAGAAGAGAAAGGTATCAGAAAAGAAGAGCAGATATAGGGTTTAATTTAATCTAAAACAGATTTGATAATATATGACACTCTTTTGAATGTAAAACTGGGTTTACCAACCCTACGTTGGTAAGGTGTTTGCTTCTTTTCTTCAGTAATAATAATGGATTGCTACTTATCTATTAACTCTCTTCTAGCCATTCTTTTTGTGACTACGTATTTATTTCAAAATACTATGCTTACACTAGAACAAACAAAAATTTAAGTCCTGTAAAGAAAGTCAAAATTATGGGTCTGAAAAATCTAAAATATATGTGGCTACATATATTAAATAAGAGTAGTCAAATTAAGTGAACAAATATATACAGTTTTGCTTTATTAAGGGCTGGGAAGCAAACAAAAAGAAAACGTTGTCAGGGTTTTCAAAATTCATAAAAAACAGAAAATTCTGCTCTAATCCCAGAGTTTTGTTTTATTCTTCTGCCTGATCCTTTCTTCTACCTGACTCCTTAAATGCTCGTGTCCATCAGGGCCTTGCCTCTCTCAATCCTCTTCTAATGTTATGGTACACCTCCCAAGCTTTAACAATGTTTCTTTCCCAAATCCTTTTCTCCAGCTCTGACCTTGCTACTAAGCTCTACAACAACTGTTGCAACTCACAAATGGAAACTGCCCCTGGATGTCCTACATGCATCCCTGTGTACACATTTTCAAGATTGAATTTAATATGTTCGGTCCATGGTCACTTATTAAAATCACTTGCTTGCATACCCCCCCCCCCACCCACAACTCTCTTACGCTTCTTGTTGCACTCAACTTAGTTGGCTGAAATATAACCATAATTAAATCCTTGTTTACTTCAGTCCTTTCCCCTGCAGCTCAACGTGGCTGGAGAAAAATACGCAACTATGCTGACCTTTAAATTCATGTTAACTTTAAAGTCACTTTAAATTCATGATGACTTAGCTCAAAAGGACCCCAAATGCTACACCCACCAAACATACTGTATTTCCATAGTTAACTCACTCCTTTACTCTCCTACAGGACAATTCATACTTTGCCTCACTTTTCAAATTTCCTCCCTCACAATCATCCCCAGGTGATGTCCATGCTCTGTTTCACTAAAAAAACCTAAGGCAACCAAAAGATAGTTTCCACTAGCTCCCACATCAATTCATTGGCATTCCTTTGAATCCATATTCTCTGCTTTTTCTTATTATTATTAATGCATCATCTGTTCTCCATTCCACTTGTGCTCTAGATTCCAATCCTTCTTAATTCAAAGAGGCATACTATTCAACAATTTACTTTTTCTGGTATCATCAATTTTGCCATCAAGATAGGTTATTTCTCCTTTCTAAAAACAAAAACTCAACCCCACTTAACTCTCCAATTTTTACTCCATTTTTTCTGCTCCCTTTTACAAGTATATAAACTCTACATATTACTAGTGTCTATACACTACCCTATCTGTATTTAATTTGTCCCTGTTCGCTTTTGAGCCCACAGCAATGATGCTGTTTATCCCAGTTTTTCCACAGAAATTGCCCTTGACCAGTGCCCAGTGGCCTCCACGTGGACCGACATTGCAATGGTCATCTTTTTGTTTTCATCTTGTACTTGATCCATCAAAAAATTTGACAGAGCTAATCATTTCTTCCCCCTCAAAACATTTTTTCCCTTCTGATTCCAAGACAACACATTCTATTGGCTTTCCTCCTATCTCAATGATCCTTCCTTTTTAGACTATAAATTATTTCCTTCTTATCCCTAACCTCATGTATATACTAAACAATTTGTTAATTGTCTATCTCTCCATGCTACAATACATACTACAATGCAAGCTCCATGAAGACAGAGACTTCTGCCTATTTTGTTAATTGCCATATTCCCAGTGCAGAGAAAAAAAAGCTTGATATATAGTAGGCACTCAATGATTTATTGATTAGATGAGAGGAAAAAAATCAGAGTAAGAAAGGAGATAGTCAAAAAAATTGAGGCTTTGTAACTTCCTTCTTAAAAAATGTATTTAAGTATATAGGCATCCATTTTTAACACAAGAGATAAGACCTGCAGTAATGGCATGTGATTAGGAATCCAGGGAATATACAGGATTACAAAACAGGAAACCTTTTAAGGTTCCTAGAATCTGTAGTATCTAGGTGTCTGTAAGATATTTAAAACTTAAATTTTATTTTGTTTTGTTAAAATACAAAATTATTACACTCTAACGTTATTTTTTCCTAGTTTCTGTGAGCAACCGTATCTTTTTTTTATTTATCAGTTCCCTGCTCCCAGGCAGTTCTAGAAGCCTGGCTTCATTTTAAGAGTTTTCAGCAGCAAGGGTTAGGAGAAAGCTGTGAGTGAAGTAGGTAAGAAAATCCTAGTAATTTTTAAATGGCCATACAAAATTTCTGCAACACTTATACCATATACTCAAGCATCCCTTTAACAGGCACTTGGTTCTGTCTTTGAGTAAAGAGAATTTTTTTAAATGAATGTCTCAAGGTTCAGAAGAAATTCTTACATTTCTAACAGCTGCCAGAATTCCTTTGCACAGCACCTAGTTCACTGCCATGACTACATTCTTGGCAGTGCTCCCTATAGTCAAATTTCTGAAAAAAAATCTGGTATGAAACAACAATACACTTCACAAATGTACTGTATGATCAAAGAAAAGGTGTCTCCTAAATCATCTATCATTGTGATAACAAATGCATCCAAAAGTTCAAAACGTCTTTTGAAGTCTCAGCATCCTAGCCAGTATCATTTGGCACAACTAGCTAGTTTCTGCTAATACTAAACTAATACACAAACCTGTCCATTTTGTCATTTTGTTTCAGTCCAACAAAGCAGCTGACTTTCAAGGCACTGGTAACTAGATGCTCTATTCCTAACCTATACATGGTAGAAATATACCTTTTTCTATGAATCCTCTTCCCTCTTTGCAAACTTCCCTAATTTACAATAGAAAAAGACAATGCAAATATATTCTAACAATTAAGAATGTAGTTTTGGAGTTAGACCTGAGACTGAACCTCAGTTCTCTCTCTATCTAGCTGTACTGCCATGGGCAAGTTTCAAGTACACCAATTGCCTAGGCCTCACAAGGGGTTACTATGAGGATTAAATGAGATAATACATAGGAATCACTAGCGTACTGTAGGGCACTAAGTAAATATTCATGAAAATCAGCTATTGTTACTGCAGCATCATACAAATCTTGACTCTAGAATAATCTTTATAGTCTCTTATGTCCCATGAAATCTTTTCACCTTATAAATGAAGGCTCCTTCCTTTTTATCCTTGTTGCCTGGATATAAACTCTGGTCCTAGTCATCTTTAATGATGATTATTATAACTTCATTCTTATTGAACTATTTCCCACCAGCACTTTTCCTACTTTTTTTCTTAACCTGATTCAGTAATTTTTAGGTCATCTTAAGGATCTTTGCAATATATCTATAATCTTACCCTCTGCTTCAAAATTATTTATTTATAGCGTGAATTTTTCCAGTACCCACTCTACAGCACTGGGTTAGATAATGGAGACACAACTGTAAACAAAACAGTCTGGTGAAAGATTTGCATGGAGGAATTTAAGCAACATTACTTCTTTCATGCCCTATGTTTCAAATCATCTCATGAGTCAAGTTTCTTTAGAGCTATTGCATCATAGCAAATAAGGCAATACCAATACTGCAGTAAAGTACCATAGTTAAGAGTGTGAATTTTGAAGTCAAAACCTCCCCCTGACTAGCTGTGTGATCTTAGGGCACCTCTTTATCTCTCGCCATATATGCTTTACTGATAAAATGGGCATGATATAACATCGTATCATATGGCTATTATGTAAATGAGAAAATACATATAATCTGTTGGGAACAGTTTTTCCCAGCTAGTAATTATAATGTATAACAAAAGCTATTATTATTCCCCCCTCCAAATCTTTTCAAAATGGTACCCTGTGGTTATTGTACCCTCCCCTCCTCTAACTCTGTAAAATTCCTAAGTCCTTTTTCTTCCCCCCTTCCCTTCAAGCTTTTCTAAATTGATCAGAAGAGCTGCAATTCCTAACCCCACTCTATCTGGACTTCTAGAACTCCCTTAGGAACGTTCAGTTAAGTCCAGTCTAATTATACACTTAAGCCTTCCAGTTTACATATCTCAGAAGAAAGGAAAATAAAAGCAAAGAGTATTCCCTGATTTTTATGTACTAACAACTATTCAGATATCAAATAGATCTGTTTCCAAGTTTGGAACACTTAGCTGTGTTTTTTACTATAACTTCCTAAAAGCAGGTATTTCAAACTATCCAACACCGATCCAGGGTCAACACAAACATTTATTCAGGCCCTACTACGAAAAGAGGGAGCTAAACATAAGATAGGATCACTAATGAAATCAACTAAAACTGGGCTTACTGAACTATCATTTTTCATTAGGTAGGAATATAAAATCTATTTAGTTTCTAATAATTAATCATTAGATATTAAATTTTATAATTATACATTTCTAGACAAGGTTGTGGCACTGAAGTGAACAAGTATACTTTCTAACCGAAAGTGTAGCATTCACATATGTAAATGAATAAAACACAATGTGATGTTTCACTTACTCAAATTCTGTAGCATAATATTTAAGAAAGCCCAGTAAGAGGTCCCCAAGATTTGATTCATTCTTTGAGAGGTAAGGAGGAACATTACATGGAGCTTGATGTACAAGGTGCAGCTGTATAGCTGGACTAAAAGATTCCTGTCAAAAAGAAAAGGGGGGAAATATAAAGCCATTTAAAACATACACTAAAAACTTTCAAATCCTGACCTAAGCTCTCTGAAGAAGAGAAAAGAAATCTTTATGTTGGCAGTTTGGAAATTTGAAGATTTTCTTCCACTAAAGATTTCACCGGTGTTTGCAGTATGCCAGAAAGTACCTAAAAAACTAAGACATTCTAAACCTTGGCTGAGGTATATCACTCATTTAACCAAGAGCCTACAGTAGCAAAAGATTTTCTAAACTCATAAACAAATCTTCACTGTACATACCAAGATTTCATCAAATAACACAGAGATTTCTTTATACATGTTCCTCCTTCTTGAGTGCCTCTACAAGGAACAGCAGGCAATATCAAGCGCAAGATACAAGCATTTTCTAACTGGCACTTAAAATTTCTCCTAGAGGCCATAAAAGTAACTAATATGTGAACAGTACTTACACCAATTTTAAGATTTTTTAAATTTTGTTTCATTTTATTTTTGTATTTTGTATCTTAATGGGAAGAGATGACAGACATTCAACAGGAACTGAACTTGAAATGACAGAGGGCAGGGAAAAGAAGAAGGAAACTGAGCAGCAAGCAATATTCAGCAAACTTCTGCCACAATATTCATAAGGGAAGGTACCGTTTGGTTGTAATCTACACCTACACAAGACTTACTAGAAAGAATACTAATGGGTACTTTTTCTTTTTGCCTAACCTATACCATTCATTTTCATTTAGATAAATATTCATTTAGATAAATCCTTCCTCTATTCATTTATTTTTTTAAGTTATTTTTTTTTAAAGATTTTATTTATTTATTTGACAGACAGAGATCAAAGTAGGCAGAGAGGCAGGCAGAGAGAGAGGAAGGGAAGCAGCCTCCCTGCTGAGCAGAGAGCCTGATGCGGGACTCGATCCCAGGACCCTGGGATCATGACCTGAGCTGAAGGCAGCGGCTTAACCCACTGAGCCACCCAGGCGCCCCCTCTATTCATTTAGATAAATCGTTCCTCTACCAGCAGTAAGTTCTGGCTCTAAAACATACTAAATGGACTATGGACTACAGAGATTCTCAAATAATACATATCCAAATGTTAGAAAACACTCTTTTTAAGGTAATTTGCACAGCTGCCCTTAAGATAGCTTTCTACATTACCATTCACCATCAGAGTAATAACAGATTTTTTTTTTAAAGCAACTGGTTAAGGGGTGACAGCTTAAGGTTCCCAAATACTTAATAAATCAACCTAGGGTATACAGATACCAATTTAATTAGTAATCCAACTTTAAAAAACAGAGGCTCCCCAAATAACCTAATTACAATACAGAGAAATAGGGTAGTGCATCTAGTTAAAGGTAATCCTCAAAAATCAGCAAGAAAAACAAAAGAGCAAGAAAATAAAAAAATTCCCTCCCTGTCCTATTATCTACAATTCTATCCATAATTTTTAACTACCAAGAAGTGACTACCTTTCTTTCAGAAGACAACCACAGTTCATAAATCTGACACTCCTAAACTTCAGACTTTCCCTTATACTTCTAGCAGATTTAGTATTATATGATGAGACTTAAGTAGAAATCTAATTGTCTCTAAGACTAGAGGGAGTTAGGAAAGAAGTCTCAATTTATAATAAAGAGTGGAAGCAGAAGGAAGAGCAGATGTATTGCTTCTACCACCCTTTGTTGGAAAGTATTTTAAATTGTAAAATTTCAATATTATTTTCTGGCTAATCAAACAAAAAGGTATAACCTAAGTTCAAATAACAAGGAAAAGAGAAGTGGGTCACTATTTAATAACTTCTGCTCTGAAACCTTCTTACTAATTTTGACTCTTAAGACATACCACAGTAAGCATTCACTTTATTAACTGATGCTAAAATAAGAGTCATTTTCTTACCTTAAAACTGTTTAAACCTCTTTTAAAATTTTTTATTTTGTTAAATAATTTAAAGAAAAAAGGTCAGCAATTGTATATTAACACTTTAGAGTTGTGAGACCTACTCTACTAAAATGGTGAATGACTCTGAACCAACAATTTGACCAGTCTCCTCTTAGTGTCACTATTCTTTTTCACGGTCATATACAGAAAGTGCCATGTCGTACATACCAGAGGAAAACTGAAGGAGAAAGCCAAACTTAAAAAAGAAGAAAAAAAAAAAGGGCCCAAAAGATGCTACAAGTTAAAAGAAATTCCACTTAACCATCAAAAAACTCCATTTTTGGTAATCATTAACATCACAGAAAGATTTTCTGCTTTAGAAAAATTTCATCAAAGAATTTTTTTTAAAGGCAGTTCCCCTATTGCATATGTATTTAAGAATAATATACATTACTTTGGATAGGATATGGCTGGGCAAAACTTAAGCTAACATATTAGAAAACATATAAAGACCAATCCAAACGACAAAGAAATTACAACCTAAATCCACGGAAAACCAACTTAACTGACACAATGTAACATCTATTTATTAAAGCATTTGAGGTGGGGATTACTGATACTTACTGTTGTATGGTTTGTTTGTTTGTTTTTTTTTAAAGATTTTATTTATTTATTGGACAGAGAGAGATCACAAGTAGGCAGAGAGGCAGGCAGAGAGAGAGAGGAGGAAGCAGGCTCCCCACCAAGGAAAGAGCCTGACGCGGGGCTCGATCCCAGGACTCCGGGATCATGACCTCAGCCGAAGGCAGAGGCTTTAACCCTCTGAGCCACCCAGGCGCCCCTGTTGTATGTTTTTCAAGTGGGGAAGACATCTTTATTACTTTTTAAAGTTATATCTTATTTGGGGCCTCTAATAACCAAATTTATAATGACTTAATTCCTGAAAACATTTTTGAAGATATGTATCTTCCTTTCCTTCCAATACCAAGTTAAGAAAAATTTTAATGGGCAACCCCTAGAAAAACAACTACAAAGTCTCACTTTTTTACTCATACAAATGCCTACCAAAAATGGAAAGACATTTTTTGCCAAATTCTATTATTTCTTGATCTGTGCCATAATATCTTACCTTCAAAGTTTGAAATTTGGACAATTAAGCACTTTCTGGAATAAATTAGATTGGCTAAACTTTCACTTGGTAACTGTTCTTTAAAAAGATAGATGCCTTAGGGGAACCTGAGTGGCTCAGTCAGTTAGGCAGCCGACTCTTTATTTTGGCTCAGTTCAGGAGATCAGGGTCATGAGGTGGGCCCTGCACTCAGCATGGAGTCTACTTGAGATTCTCTCTCTTCCTTGCCCTCTGCCCCACCACCTGCTTGTGTATAGGCACTTACGCACTCTCTCTCTCAATAAATTTATTCCCTAACCTAATTTTTTGAAGATTTTTTTTTTAAGGTTTTATGTATTTATTTGAAAGAGAGAGCCACAGCAAGAGAGGGAACACAAGCAGGGGGAGTGGGAGAGGGAGAAGCAGGCTTCCCACTGACCAGGAAGCCCAATGTGGGGCTTGATCCCAGGACCCTGGGACCATGACCTGAGCTGACGGCAGACACTTAACAAGGGAGCCATCCAGGCGCCCCTTATTTTATTTTAGAGAGAGGGAGTGGGCGAGTGGGATGAGAGGCAGAGGGATAGAGAGAGAAGGGAAGCCGACTCCCTGCGTTGAGCTCCACGATCAGCTCAGAGTCTATTTGTGATTCTCCCCCTCTGTCTGCCCCTTCTCCTGTGTGTGCACACACGTACAAACTCTCTAAATAAATACTCTTTTTTAAAAAAAATATACACGCCTTAAATGAAGGATGACTATTTCCTAAACTCCAAGCAAACAAAGTTCCACACTATTCCAACAATATGAATTATTAGGCCCTGGATATAAATGTTGAGGAAGGTCTCAAAGAAAAAGATACCTGATATGGAGTACTTAAGCAGAGTTCTGACTGAACAGAGAAAGGGCTAAATGATATATTGAAGTTCTACCAAGCTTTAATTGTATGCAGATTACCACTAATCTGTTACCAGATTTTAACATGTTAAAGACTGATCATTAAATTCTTTAAATTATATTTGCTTTTAAAGTTTTTGATAGTTTTTGGAAGCTTCTAAAGTTTTGAAATCAACATAAATATCATAAAGTAGAAGTACTATAATGAAGTGGTTACGAGCATGAGCTTAGGTGTCAGATCTAGCTTTGAAACCTATTAGCTATATGAACTTAATCGAGTTTACTTAGCTTTCCTAATGTTCGGCTTCTTCATCTCAAGTTACTTAGCTTTCCTAATGTTCGGCTTCTTCATCTATAAAAAAATAACTACTCATAGAACTGTAATGAGGATTAAATGATAACACTGTATGTAAAGCACAGCAGCAATAGTATTACCTATATATTAATTATTTAGTATACGCCAGGCATCATTATTGTAACTGTACCATTCATAATAATGCAGTATGGTTACCTCCTGAAATAATGTATTATTTCAAAATTAACTTCCTTATAACTTTTAACATTTAAGTAATATCAACTTTATTTTTTTTAAGGTATTTATTTATTTATTTGACAGAGATCACAAGTAGGCAGAGAGGCAGGCAGAGAAAGAGGAGGAAGCAGGCTCCCCGCTGAGCAGAGCGCCAGATGTGGAGCTCGATCCCAGGACCCCGAGATCAAGACCTGAGCCAAAGGCAGAGGCTTTAACCCACTGAGCCACCCAGGTGCCCCAAGTAATATCAACTTTAAAAGATGTTTTTTATCATTAAAACTGACTTCACCAAAATGTTTAAATTTGTCTTTTCAAAGATATTCATTTATAGCCTGTTTTATATAACTAAAATCCTTCAACATATTATATGCATTTTAAAACTAAAAAGAGTTGCTATATCTCTATGTGTATAAATATGTATATATGTAAAATTTAATATACTTTCAATACATAGCTGCACAGAGTAACTCTACATTCTCAGAATTCCTAATCTCACAACCATAAAGATGGCTTTCTGGAATATGAAGATACTGTTAGGGAAACAAACAAATATAAGCTATCTCATAAATCTCCACCTAGCATGAATCTGGGTAAGTCTCATAATATGCTCACATTAAAATAAAGATCCCTTCATAAGCTTAACCTAAGTTTATATATTTAAACACTCTCAACTTCATTGTTTTAACTCAACAGTTAATACTCTATCACTCATGTTGCTTTTTCAAGTCAAAAGAATTAAGTAGTAATAATAATGCTACATTATGATAAAGCTTTTGAAGATAAAGATATGGTTATAGTCTTTCATTCTTTTCTTTCCTAATTTAGTATTCTAACTGAACTGAAACACCATACGCATTTTTAAAATAAATATATTACCATAAATTTGAGAAAATATGAAAATAACTTTAAAAAGCATAATACATTGAATAAATGTTATTGTATTCAAAGTTTTTATCCTATTTTTTAATTCTATTTAACTATATTAGAGAAGCTCAAAATTTAAAAGAACTTTGTTCCCTTGTAAAATAACAAAGTTTTTTTTGTCACTATAAAGTTTTAAGTCATTCTCAAATTGATATAAGCTAAAATTCTAACATGTTGTTCTTAAAGAAAGGTAAATCTGTACAGGAACAATCAGATACATTCAAACAAAATGTAATAAGCAACAAATATTAGATGAAATGATATATTAGTAAACAGTATAATTTTGTCTTAGGCAGCACAGAATGAGAGAAAAAAATAACAGTTTCTGGATCCATAATTTGTGACTATAAAGCTTGAATTAATAATGTAACATTCCTAAGACTTAGTTTCTTCACATGTGAATCAAGGATAATACTATACTAGATAGTACTAGGATTAAGGATAATGTATATAAAATTCATACAGTGCTAACATAAAACAGATACTAAATAAGTGACAGTTATTAGTAGTAAGAAATAAGCTGATTTGTCTATTCTATTAGCTGGACTACTGAGAAAAGTCCTCTACTGATCAATCACCTACAGGTTTCAGATACAATTTACAATCCTTTTAGAGTGGATATTAAGTCCTTACCCATGTAAGCATCAACCTTATAGTAAAGATAATGTACTTTAAATATTTATGACAATGTGACCACACCTGAAAGCAAATTAAGACATCCTTAAATCTAGCAAGTCTTGCTATTAGTATTTTTTAAGGCCTTGGGGCTGGACTAAATCTATTTCCCTATTATAGGTATAGAAATACAATTATTAGCAAAACAGGGGTGGAGAGTATAGAGTAAGAGATGGTGTATGCGAAGAGAAGTCAGGACTCCAACATGGGGGAAAGCTAGATAATGAAAAACATGAAACAAAAGTGAAAAAAAATGAGGCTCTTCAAACTAGAACATACCAGTAAGAACCTGGATATCATAATAAAAGCAATATGTCTGTTCTGTTCTCCAACATAGTGCATTAAATTGAGATTTCCTTAGTATTTTATATTACTAAAAAGAGTTCATGCAGCGAGGGTTTTAAGTGGGATTTCTGTAGAAACATCTATTCCATACACAATAATAGACTCTTTAAAAGTAAGTTTAACTATTAGCTGTTTTGTATGCTAAAAAAATATACACAGTTCTTTCTATACTGAAACTTAGGTCTTAACCAAAAAGTTGAGAAAAAAAATGAAATTGTAAACACCCAGTTATCATCTTTGACCTTTCTGTATATGCTAAAGAATCAATACTTTATTGAAGGGAGAAAACCATTCAAGGATAAGGCCAAAAGTTCAAGTTACTTTTATGTCTACACTTACTGATGCTTTCATTTTCGTGTTTATGAAAGCATAAATACTGATCCTTAGAAATAACTGAAATTCATTGTAATAGTTCTTCATAACAGCAGAAATTAGTTTTCAAAATGAGGAAGATAAGATATCCAGATTCCAAAAAATTCTTATAGATATTGTCTTTACCAGATGACTCACTACAAACTGGGAAGCCCCCACTACAGCAAAACTCTATTACAGTACACCTTTATTATCCAGCACCCTGAATGTATGCATTACATTAAGAACCTATGTTCAAAAACAAACACGTCAGTTCTTCTCAATTATCAAAGATTAAGTTATATTTAATTTAGATTCCACATCAAGTAGATTTATATTTTATACGATACAGGCAGAATAAGTATGTCTTTTGAAAACTTATCACTCAAGCTAGAAATTACATTTTCCAATTTGACTAGTAAGTTTAGAAAACAGTTCTTTCTATAAGTTTACAAAACAGGTAAAAATTACACAGTTTCAGAAGGTTAAACATTCTAAACAGCTTAAATATCATTCCAAATAAAACCAGGAATAAGGATGACTATGGAGGAAAACAGAAACAGTAGGACTGTAAAACAAGGGAACAGAATTCTGGAAAAAAGAACACAAAAAACTGGAAAAGAAACAACAGTATAAAAGATTGTGAATATGTATACTAACCTAGGTTTTTCTAAACTCAAACTGAGTACATACCAAACTTTTTCTAAAAGCACCCTTTACTTCTTTAATGTTCCCAATTAACTTCAGGAGTCTTAATATTGTGCATAGAAATAGTGTACTGATATTACTTCTCTTGGTTTATTGGTAAAATCAAATGAAAGATAAAATGATTATTCAATTGTTCAAATTCTTAGTTTTCCCCCCTGCTTTCACAGTATACATACATTGGCCTGAAAACTTCTGAGTTAGTAACTAAAGAAATGCTATAAAACTGTATTTGAAAATAGCATGAAGAAAACTAGAATAAGCCTAACTGAAGCCTAACTGAGCCTTACCAACTGAGTATATTTAATTGCTATTAGTGATAATCATGAACATCACGTGAAAAATTCTACCATTTACATAAATGACCAGGCTATCTGCCAATAATCAAATAAAATATCAGTCTTTCAAAAAAGTATATGAAATATTTTTAATGTACTAGTCGCCAACTCCTCAGCCTATACAGAAAATGTTATCATATACTTAGAAGGTAACTATTACACCTTTTATAGTCACATTAATACTGCATATAATAGTTCCACATATACTTGTCATAATATGTATTATAATAATTTATAAGAAACACTTACTGGGTAAATTTTTTGGATGGATGGAAGGATGGGTTCAGGTAGGGCTATAAAAAAAAAAAGTTTAAAGCTTCCGTGATTCACATAATTCATTTTACAAAGCAATAATTTGTCAGCTATACCCCAGGCTTAAGGGTTTCTGCTTAAATTCAATAGTTTCCATATATTTTGTGAATTCTGATCCCTAAAAATTTCAATTCCAAATATACCTAAGTTGATAACTTAAGGTTTATTAATAAATTATGTATATTTCTATGTAAACCAATGTTCCTTACATGGTTTTAGAAAAACAGGCCATCAATGAACACACATCATTTGGTCCAACATCAGACACACACACGAAATAAGCAAGACAAGGATTGATTGACTGTTCTACAGATGTTGAATGAACATTGTTAAAATGGATGTAGCTATCAAAAAGAAAATTTTTAAATACAGTCCAATGATACTGTATCATGAAAGAACAACAGCTATATCATAACTGTCCCTTTATTTTTAATTCTCATAAATAATAATGTCAAAATTTAATAGTTTCAGGAGACAGATTTGCTGGGGGCAAAAAACTGGAAAAAAAAATCTTTAACTTCACAAATTTTTAAAAAGAAGGTCTCAGCAAAGTTTAGAAATATATATCAGGATATTTATACCAATTTGCCATAAAAAATAAAAATTTCATATAAGGGACTCATTATTTCATATGTGATTTTCTTTTCAATTGTCATTCTTCATTCTCCAATAGCTTAACTAAAATCCAACTTCATGAAATGCATTAACAATAATTTCACATCATTACAGTATAAAGGGAAGAACATGAAAGGCAAAGTGCTTAATATTCACAATTTAAAAAACTATAAAATACAATGTCTTGAGTAAGGTAAGACACAAGTAATGTATTTTCAAGATTTCTTTAAGATTAAAGACAAAATATAATACTATAAAAGCTATGTATTTGAAGAATTAGAAATACATTGTAATAATTAAGTAAATTCAGTAACCATCATTACCTTTAATTTGCAATTTAGCAAAAACCTTTTTAAATGACTTCTGAATACATTAATAATATACACATAATCAACCATTATTACCAACTTACATAACCTCCAACTATGATTATAAATGTATAAATTCCTATTGCATAGTATTTAAATGTTTCTTCTGTATCATGCTTCATTCCGAAGTTGAAATTAAAATAAAATTCCATGATATTCTGGAATGTTCACAGTGTGCAACTGAGGGGGAAAACTTATTACTTACCAGAACCACTCTTAGGAAGTAAAAATATTTTTTTCCCAGAGGCATTCAAGTGCTCAAAATTCTAGAAGATCCTACAAATAAACTCAAGCCCCAGTTACCTTAATTCTAAAAATCTTTATATTCATATAACATTTTAATGACTTTCTAATAATTTTTGCTATAATACAGAAGTCAAACTAGAAACTCTTACTAGAAATTAGTTTAATTAAAAACCTGAATTCCTTTCTCACTGAATACTCCTAGTAAAATAAAATTATAATTTAAAAAATGACAAAGAAGGTTATGGAGAATTAGAAAAAACCTTACCTCATTCTAGAATCATAACTAGAATGCTAGAAGAGAAAAACAAGTACTAACCCCTGGGGTAGGGTCTTTTATTAGACCAAGAGCCTTTAAAAATAAGCAATTTGAGGGGCACCTGGGTGGCTCAGTCAGTTAAGCACCTCTTTTGATTGTGGCTCAGTCATGATCTCAAGGTCATGGGATCAAGCACCACATGGGGCTCCACACTGAGTGTGGAGATTGCTTAAGATTCTCTCTCCCAAGCCCTCTACTCCTCTCCCACTCTCACTTTCTCTCACATGTGCCTTCCCTCTCTCGGTCTCAAAATAAACAAATAATATAAAAAGTAAGTAAAAGAACTAATAAGCAATTTGGAAATTCTGGGGGGCAGGGGTATCACTCATAAATCCCATGTCTGACAACCTTACAGATTTAAAAACACTAGTCACTTGTGAAAAGAAACAGAAGAAACCTCATTTACAGTGGAGTGAGGAAGTCCTGAAAGGGAATACAGTATACCCTGCATTCCCTAATAAAAAGAAGTTTACTTCACATACCCCAGCAGGATGAAGAAAAAATTTTTCCTTGTCCAGCAACAGCCCAGCCAATGAGAAATAGCCCCATCCATCTTCTTCCCCTACCTCTATAAAGGCAAGTCCCTGGCCTCCATTCTCTGGACTTGCCAATGGTTGGGTCACCATTTTGATTGTACTGAACTTCAATTCCTCTGTTATTCTTGAATAAACTCATTGTGTCAGTAAAAAAAAAATTGGCTCTTTTGTTTTTTCAAGGCCAACACATTAAGAGCAACTGATGTACTGTGGCAGTTACTTACTAACACTATCCTCATAGTAACCTCAAAGCCTTCAGAGTAGTTTTTCAAAGTTTATTTTACTCAAAGCAAAACACATTCAGAAAGAATCTGGCTATAACATCTATTTTTACTTCAAAATTCTGGACTGCAATCTTTTAAATTTCTCTCTCGAAAGCTTTATATAAAATAAAACTTAGTATTGCAGTATCTGATCAATTGATAACACTTTCAGAATAACTATTCTGCTAAGATTTTATTTTTGCTTCCATTTCAGATGAGGGTTTTCTGGTCAAGCCCCCACAGATTTATATATATAAACATTCCATTATGATTCATCAAAAATTTAAAAAAAAAAAAAAAAGCTTATCTTCGACAACACTAAGCAACAATTCTGACACAATTTAAAATGCCTGAGATAGGGGGCACCTGGGTGGCTCAGTGGGTTAAAGCCTCTGCCTTCGGCTCAGGTCATGATCCCAGGGTCCTGGGATCAAGCCTCACACTGGGCTCTCTGCTCAGTGGCGAGCCTGCTTCCCCTTCTCTCTCTGCCTGCCTCTCTGCCTACTTGTGATTTCTCTCTCTGTCAAATAAATAAAGAAAATCTTTAAAAAAAAAAAAAATGCCTGAGATAGTTCTGTACCTAGTAACATGGTAAATATTCTATGAATAGTAATTTGTATCATTATTTCTAACCAGTTGATACTTCTGCCTTTTTATTAATTACTAATCTTAGATTGCCATTAAAAGCTCTTCTCATCAGGTTTTTACCCCTCATACTTTCATCAGTCACCTTTCAAGCATACATAGTCTCTTACTGACTGTTGAAATTCATCCGAGGAAATGCTTTAATCTTTTTCAACCTTTCTACATTCAGAAGACTGTTCCCTTTCTCTATTCATGGCAAGAAAGACAATAAAAGTATGTATGAAGTTAAATAAAACCTAAAGGTCCATCCAATCCAGCTATTCCTGTTATAGATAAGAATATTAAGATCAGAAAGGTAAAGTAATTTGGCCAAAATCATAAACATTACTTCACCATGGCATGACTGGAACTGCCCAAGACATCCTGCAGACTCCTGTATGACAAAAAAAAAAAAAAAAAAAAATGCAGCTACTTATTTCAATCTAATTTCTTCTAGTAAGGGGCAGCTTAAATTTGCCAAATAATAGAGTTATACTTTAGCTCTGCATAGGTAAGGTCCTTTAACAAAAGATCCAGAAACGGTTCATGAGAAAGTCATTAATTAAAAACCATCTCGGTAAACGGGACTTTGTCAAAAATAAAATATGCTTAAATACGTTAGCAAAATTTTAGCATGATTTCTTAACACTGGTAAAATACTAACACCAGAACTTTCAACTCACTTGCCAAACCACCGTGGGGAATCTGTGATTAAAGTATATTTTTCTTCCCTCCCCCCCCCCAAGATTTATCTATTTGAAAAAGAGAAAAGGGGAGAGGGAAAAAAATCTCAAGCAGATTCCCTGCCAAGCATAGAGCCTGACTCGGTGCTCAATCCCACCACCTTGAGATCACGGACCTGAGCTGAAATCAAGAGTCCAACAACTAACAGACTGAGCCACCCAGGCATCCCTAAAGTACATCTTTCTAAAGAAGGCAATTAAACTAAAATTTCTAATGTAACCCATAAAAATAGAAGGAAAGGACACATATTACAGATGTTCATACATGTTAAATGCTGTAGTCATATCTAATTTTTAAATCATAACTAGGGTCTATTCATTTTTTAGTTTCAGTTGCAACTTAAAAAGTACACTTGACTAAACCTAAACAACTCTGATAAATTTTTGGCACATAACTTCTCAATATTTATATACATATGTGTATATATATAGAAACTCTAATACAGATACTATTTTTAAAATAAAATTGGTATCAGGTTGCATATAAGAGTGTATCATGGGTATTATATCATTAAATATCCTAAAAGCATCACTTTTGGCTAACATTATAATTAATTCCATCATAACATATCCATTCTTAAAAACTTAAGATTATTTTGAATCTTCTGTTATCTCAATAAACACAATCAAAATCAGCCTGATATATAAATCCATACACGTATCCCTGATATTACCTTGGGATTAATTCCTAGAAATGCAATCACTGAATAACACTGAGTCAAAGGGTATGAACATAAATATTACAACACTGCTTCCTCAACTATGGAAACATCATTAGCCCAGAACAGATCAGACCCTAAACATCCTGATAAAGGGTCTTCTATTACAGTAACATCAAGTCTTTTAACCAATTTCCATGCCACCTCACAATGAATTAAACTTCTTTGACCAAAAAGAAAATCCTCTCTCAAGTGAAAAATAAAAAAACATGATGAATGGTGCTTGAGCTTATTTTTACAGACCTTCTGAACATGCACATGCCTCAATATAATGGGTCCACAACACAGTAGTAGAAGTTCTTTGAATATAAAATACTGAAAAACTGTCAAAAAAATAAAAAACACAGTAAAACTTCCTTTATAATGTTTTCCAGGGAATAACATTTCTTCCATTTTTTGTGGGGGGAGGAAGGGTTGGGCAGAGAGAAAGGGAGAGCGAGATCCTTAAGCTTGAGCCATAAGTACTTTCCAAAAAGTACTTCAGCTTGACATGAGGCTTGATCTCACAACCCTGACATCACGACCTGAGCCAAGATCAAGAGTCGGACACTTAGCTGACTGAGCCACCCAGGCACCCCCAGGAATAATATTTCTAAAACATCTGTTCAAAGCAACAAATTAGGAAACATGGTTTTCTGGGCTTTAGAAAGAACTTTTTAAAACAATGCTGTTTGAAGACAGAGTCAACAGAGAAGACATCATAATGAAGTTTAACTGTGTTTTCATTTTAAAAATTGGGGAAAAAAAACGAAAATACTTACTTTGTAAATAGTGCAAAACCATCAATACAAGACTATAGCTGCTTAAAGTACCACGACTGGCATCATTTATTTCATGGTGACTCGCCCACTTCTTAATCACCAGTACTAATGGACGAACTCGATTTTCAACTGAAAGTAAAATTAAAACTTAAAAATGGTAAGAAAATATTATGGTTTCTTTGAAAGCTTCTATCATTTCCCAACTACAACAAAAAGAACATTGCCTCCCTATTTATTAAACACTTTGTTCACCGTAAACGTGTCTTGCTTTTAAAAGGTATCTTAGTCACCTTTTAAAGATTACCATTAAAATTTGTTTTATTGACCTGTAACTCTAGTAGTATATAATTTAGTGTAGCAATTTTTATAAATATAATAAAAGACACTATACATAAACATAATTAAACAGATGTCAGTATTTATTACAAACATCTTTAAAAAGGAATAAAGAGTAGGGGGTTAGGGGAGTAGGAAAAGAATAAATGAAACAAGATGGGATCAGGAGGGAGACAAACCAAAAAAGACTCTTAATCTCACAAAACAAACTGAGGGTTGCTGGGGGGGCGCGGTAGGGAGAGGGTGGTGGGGTTACGGACATTGGGGAAGGTATGTGCTATGGTGAGTGCTATGAAGTGTGTAAACCTGGCAATTCACAGACCTATACCCCTGGGGCTAATAATACATTATATGTTAATTAAAAAATTTAAAAATTTAAAATAAAAAAAAGGAATAAAGAATGAAGGATAGAGAAGCTGGTAATTATTTGGAAATAAAAAACTTACGGTATGCATAAGTTCTGAGAAGGAATGTGTTTCTTATTCCAACAATATTGTTTACATTCAAGTCGAATTCCACACAACTATGAAGAAGAGAGAAAAACACCTTAGCTCAAGTGTTTTTAAACATTAGCTCAAATGTTTTTGAACAAACTCCCTTGTAACTAAATTAATATTCATCTACCCCATCATGCAAAAATAGCATGAGCCCAAAGGCCAAATACTTTAAAATGAGGCACTAAAGAAGTAAGAATACATACTCAGTACATATGAGTAAGTGTATATTAAAAATATAAAACAGGATTACAGTTGCAAGATCCATAATGTACTACTAAGGCTCCAATTATACTTAATAAAACAAATTTTAAAATTTTGCAGTCCTTTACAGATAAACAAAATTATGTGACCAAAAAACATTTCTGGCCAAATTATCCTACTGAGTTATATACCCTCAACTAATTTGGAATTAAAGCAACATTGCTTTAAAACAATAGAAATAAAATCATAAAGTACAGGTAGAAAAAATAGAAGGCTATACATTATATTCCCTCCAAAAAGGGTAAGACATAAATAAGATATAAATTATAATATCATACCAAATTTAGCTACTGATAATCTGGGAAGAACAGTGAAACACATAACAGAAGGGTTAATTCTTTGAAAGCAAAGATACCACACAATTTGCAATTTAGAAAATAGGGCATTAATGATGGGATCTACAAAGAAAGCCTAAACCCAAAATAAAAGGGAAGATTAATGAAAATTACATTATGAGGTCCAACTTCTTCTGCACACTGAGTTTTTCTATGAAAAGACTGCTTAAAATAAAAACAAAATTCCTTTCTACAAACTTTTAATTACAAAATCTGAAATTTACCAATTCAGGTTTTCTTGTTTTGGGAAATGAAACCCTATAATCTTTCAACTAAACATGCATAGTAGTATTACCACTTCAGATATCATATATATTTGTCTTCGGGAAACTTACAGCAACAATGAAGATACATTCTCTAATTGTGTCTGTGCAAGGCTAATACTGAAACCAGTCTGCAATTCCTCTATATAACTCAATACAGAGGAAAAAACAGAAGGAAACCAGTTTGCAATTAAAAGCTTTTCCAAAAATAGGATTTCAGAGCTTTAAAAATATCCACAGTACTTGCTTCAAATTCTAATTCTGGAAATACTAAAGTAATCCTATATATATGGCAAAAAGTTTACATAAAAAATGCTTATTCTAACAGGGGAATAAGTAAGTTAATCACAACATATTCACTCAATGAAATACTACTGTAAAGCCATAAAAATGAAGCCAGAAAATAATCAATGGTATAAACAAATATCCATGACATATGATTAAATAAAAAAGTATAATCTCAATTTTAATTTCAAAAACTCTTATGCATTCATATGCATAGAAGAGGGACTAAAAGTTTTATACCAAAATGTTAGTATCACTTATCTTTGAGTGTTAAAAGTAGACTTTTTTTAAAAAAATGGTCTGTATATGGGGTGCCTGAGTGGCTCAGTGGGTTAAGCCTCTGCCTTTGGCTCAGGTCATGATCTCAGGGTCCTGGGATCAAGCCCCGCATCGGGCTCTCTGCTCAGCAGGGAGCTTGCTTCCACCCCCCCACCCCCCTGCCCCCGCTCTGCCTGCCTCTCTGCCTACTTGTGCTCTCTCTCTCTCTCTGTCAAATAAATAAATAAAATCTTTAAAATGGTCTGTATAGAGAATATAAAATGGTGTTTATAAAGAATACTTAAAAATGAAAAAAGCTTGTTTAATAATCTTAAATAGAAAAAGAAACGCACCCAACACAGGAAGGACCACCCAAATACTTAAAACAGTTAATAACAAACATAAAGGAAATAATCAACAGCAATACAGTAACAGTGGGGGACTTTAAAACCCCATTTACATCAATGGACAGAGCATCCAAACAGAAAATAAACAAGGAAACAGTGGCTCTGAATAACACATTAGGCCAGATGGATTTACCAGATATATTCAGAACATTCCATCCTAAAACAGCAGAATACACATTATTTTCAAGTGCACACGGAAGTTTCCAGAACAGATCATATATTAGGCAACAAAACAAGTCTCAACAAATTAAAAAAGACCTAAGTCATTCCATGCATCTTTTCTGACCACAATGCTATGAAACAAAAATCAACCACAAGAAAAAAATCTGGAAAAAGCACAAACAAATGGAGATTAAATAACATGCTACCAAACAATGACTGGGTCAACCAAAACAAAACCAAAGAGGAAATCAAAAAATACACAGAGACAAGTGAAAATGAAAACACAATGACCAAGAATCTCTGTAAAGCAGCAAAAGTGGTTCTAAAGGGGAAGTTTATAGCAACATAGGCCTACCTCAAAAAGTAATAAAAATCTCAAATAAACAACCTAACCTTACACCTAAACAAGCTAGAAAAAGAACAAAACCCCAAAACCAGTAGAAGGAAAGGAACAATAAAGATTAGAGCAGAAATAAATGAAATAAAAACTCAAACAAAAAACAATAGAACAGATGAGTGAAACCAGGAGTTGGTTCTTTGAAAAGATCAACAAACTTGAGAAACCTTTAGCCAGACTCCTCAAAAAATAAAAATAAAAAAGAGCGGGGCCGCCTAGGTGGCTCAGTCAGTTGGGCGTCTGCCTTCAGCTCAGGTCATGATCCCAGTGTCCTAGGATTGAGTCCCGCATCTAGCTCCTTGCTCAGCTGGGAGCCTGCTTCTTCCTCTGCCCGCCGCTCCCCCTGCTTGTATTCTCTCTCTCTCGGACAAATAAATAAATGAAATCTTTAAAAAAAAAAAAGCATACTCAAACAAAATCACAAATGAAAAAGGAGAAATAACAACACGGCAGAAATACAAAGGATTTTAAGAGAATATTATGAAAAATTATATGACAACAAATTGGACAATCTAAAAGAAATGGATAAATTCCCAGAAACCTATAATCTCCCAAAACTGAATCAGAAAGAAACAGAAAATTTGAATAGTCCAATTACCAGCAATGAGATTAAATTAGTTATCAAAAAACTCCATAGAAATAAAAGTCCAGGACCAGAAGTCTTTACAGGTAAATTCTATCAAACATTCAAAGAACAGTTAATAAGTATGCTTTTCAAGCTATTCCAAAAAAAGAGAAGTAAAGGAAAACTTCCAAATTCATTCTATGAATCCTGCGATTACCCTGATACCAAAACTAGATAAAAACACTACAAAAAAAGAGAACTACAAGCCAGTATCTCTGATAAATACAGATGTAAAAATCCTCAACAAAATATTACTAAGCCAAATTTAACAATACATTAAAAAAGTCATTCATGACAATCAATTGGAATTTATTCCTGGGATGCAAAGGTGGTGCTCACTATTTGCAAATCAATAAATGTGACACATCACATCCATAAGAGAAAGACTAAAAACCATACCATCATTTCAATAGATGCAGCAAAAGCACATGACAAAGTACAACATCCAATTATATATAATAAAAACCCTCAACAAAATAGGTTTAAAGGGGACATACCTCACCATAATAAAGGCCATATACTGAAAAACCCACCACTAACATCATACTCAACAGTGAAAAACTGAGAGCTTTCCCCCTAAGAACAAGAAAAGGATGTTCACTCTAGCCACTAAATGTGAGACCTGGAACCATAAAAATCCTGAAGAGAGCACAGGCAGTAATTTCTCTCATATCAGCCATAGCAACATTTTTCTACATGTGTCTTCTGAGACAAGGTAAATAAAGGCAAAAATAAACTACATCAAAATAAAAAGCTTCTGTGCAGTAAGGAAACAATCATCAAAACTAAAACAACCTAGGGACGCCCGGGTGGCTCAGTTGGTTAAGCAGCTGCCTTCGGCTCAGGTCATGATCCCAGCGTCCTGGGATCGAGTCCCACATCGGGCTCCTTGCTCATCGGGGAGCCTGCTTCTCCCTCTGCCTCTGCCTGCCATTCTGTCTGCCTGTGCTTGCTCTCTTTCCCTCTCTCTCTCTGACAAATAAATAAATAAAATCTTAAAAAAAAAAAAAAAACTAAAACAACCTACTAAATGGGGGAAGATATTTACAAACAACTTATATAACTCAACACCCAAAAAACAAAATCCAATTTTAAAAAAATGGGCAGAAGACATGAACAGACATTTCTCCAAAGATATACAGATGGCCAACAAACATGTGAAAAAGATGCTCAACATCATTCTTCATCAGGGAAATGCAAATCAAAATCACAATCAGATATTACCTCACACTTGTCAGACTGGCTAAAATAAAAAATATATAAGAAACAGTAAGTGCTGGCAAGAAGGTGAAGAAAAAAGAACCCTTGTGCCCTGTTGGTGAGAATGCAAACTAAAGCAGGCACTGTAGAAAACAGTATGGAAGTTTCTCAAAAAATTAAAAATAGGACTATCCCATAATCCAGTCATCACATCACATTACTGGACATTTATACAAAGAATACAAAAACACTAATTTGAAAGGATATATGTACCCCAATATTAATTGCAGCATTATTTACAATAGCCAAGTTTGGAAGCAAACAAAATTTCCACCAAAAGATGATTGGAGATATACCTATCTATCTACATAGATTCATAGATAGATCTCACATATATGTGTCTATATATATACACAAACATACATAATGGAGTATTACTCAATCATAAAAAAAAAATCTTATTTGCAACAACATGGATGGAGTTACAAGAGTATAATAATACCAAGTGAACTAAGTCAATCAGAGAAAGACAAAGACCAATACCATATAATTGCACTCATGTGGAATAAAAAAAAAAAAAAAAAATGAACAAAGGAAAAACAAATGAGAGAGACAAACCAGGAAAAAGAGTCTCACCTATAGAGCACAAACTGATGGCTACCAGAGGGTAGATGGGTAGGGGAATGGGTGAAATAGGTGATGGGGATTAGAGCAGACTTATTATGATCAGCACTGAAAAATGCACAGAATTGTTGAATCACTATATTGTACACCTGAAACTAATATAGCTGTATGTCAACAATACTGGAATTAAAATTTAAAACTTAAAATAAAAGAGAGAAGGGGAGGGCACCTGGTTGATTCAGTCAGTTAAACATCTGACTCTCCATCTTAACCCCTAACACCTTGATGTTAGGGTTGTGAGTTCAAGCCCCACACTGGTATGGAGCCTACTTAAAAAAATTTTGTTTTTAATTAAAAAATTTTTTAAACTACAAAAAAAGGAAAGGAATAAAATTTTTATATGATTACTACAATCATATAGTTTTTAAAAATTGTAATAAGCTAATAGTTTTATTTATGTTTAGTTTATTCCCTATAAAGTGCTTTAGAAAACTCTACCATTATTTATTTGGCAAAAATTCAATAAATATTTATACATTGGATGGATATTTGGATGAATGGAGGGGAAGGTATGAGCCAAATCTAAGAATTTGTTTAAAATATATATATTCAAAAAAATAATAAAATAAAAAAAATTAAAAATATATATTCAGTCAATTCTAACTATTTGAGTAGGTATGCTCTACAACAGCACTGTAAACATTGAATTAATGAATACAAAACCACTGCTCCTAGGGGAAATAAGGGGTTAGGTTTCCACAAGCCTTCAGTCAAAACATTTTCATCAATTGATCAAAACATAACTCTTTTTTATGTGTTTCCATTTAAAGACAACTCATTCACTGACAATGAACTCATAGCCAAACCCACTGTAACTCATGCCTGAACAAAGCATATCTAATACATGTACTTCCTCCATAAGGCACATCACAGCTTTATATACATAAACAATAGACAGTAAGTCAGCACTATGCCAGGGGGCTATTTTAAACAGCAAAGGCACTCATAAAAAGTACCAAAATGTAAAAAATATGGCACTGAACTGGACGGTGAAAAGAATTATTTAACAATACAAAAGGTGAAACAAGAAGGCAAAGAGTCACATTCTTTAACCTCAGTTAGGAACCTGTGCATTGAGTGACTCAGAATTTTCTCCACTCTGCACATGGCTACAAATAACCATGATAGTGCTCCAGGGATCAATTTGGAGGGTTACCAAATAAATTTCATCAAGTAGGCAAATTCGTAAAGAATCCATGAATAATGAGGTTCAAGCATGTATATATTTGCACTTATATTTACTTAAAGAATTTCAGTATTACTTTTACAAAACTGGACTAGAAAACCTAATATTCACAATTCTATCTATTCTTTAGAAAACAAGACATCTTGTTTAACCAATGAAATAGTCAACACCTATTTACATTTTATGTTCAGATATTATATAAAAGATTCCAATCCCAATGCCAATTAGAAATCCAATCAGAATTTCAGAACCCAAGCTGGTAGAGTGTACCGACAGATGTAATTACATTTACAACAACCCCCTTGATAGAAATACACATCAAATTTTGAAATACACAACAAATTTCATCAATTACGATATGTTCTGAAGAGTGACGACATTTCCAAAAGGCAAGAGATCATTTAAAAATCTGAAATGTAAAAATATGTATGTTTTTTTTTTTTTTTTAGTTTTTTTTTTTATATTTATTTGTCAGAGAGAGAGAGGGGAGAGAGAGCGAGCACAGGCAGGCAGAGGCAGAGGGAGAAGCAGGCTCCCTGAGGAGCAAGGCACCCGATGTGGGACTCGATCCCAGGACGCTGGGATCATGACCTGAGCCGAAGGCAGCTGCTTAACCAACTGAGCCACCCAGGCGTCCCAAAATATGTATGTATTTTTTTAAACAGATAGTTTCAAACACTCGAAATGTCAAGCAGAATAACTAAGTATAGTTAAGCATAAAAAATTGTTCAGACTATTCCAAAAAAAACATCTCAAAGACCAAATCAAGCAGTTCTAAAAACTGATAAAGATAAGCTATTACACTGTAGCATATATTTCTTAATTATTTACATTAAAAGAACATCTAAAAATGATCTAAAGCAACTGAAAAACAAAAATTCAGTAATTATTTACCTGACTTTATCCCTGAACTTCACAATTGGCACTTTTGCTCGAATCAGCTGAGGTCTCTCAATGTAGCCAGCTGAAGGATAAAAGATAATGTGAGTACCTGTAAATGTTTTTCAAATTCATAGTGTTCCAATGCACATTTTTAAAAAATGGTATTATACTAAACCAAAACAATGTAAAAGTCTTTGATAAGAAAGCAAAGGAAGGACACTATCGCATTCTTCTAAGACTGAAATTTCCAATACCATTTACAGGGATTTGTATTTAAATTCAGAAATGTCATCTAATATCTAATAATATTCATAAAGAAATTCATCACAGCATTATAAACATGAAAAATATCTAGACTAGCATCAAGGTGATAAATTCTGGTATAGCACAAGGCAAAATATTATGACAGCCATAAAAATCCTATTTATAAACAGTCTTTAACGGGAAAGGCCTACAACATGATATATGGAGTAGTGATACATTTAAGTAAGTATAATCTCTAAGTGGAAGAATACATGTATCCATATTTTTATTCCATCAAACTTCATAATTTTTTAAATAATACAGGTCTATTATATGAAATTAGGAAACTATAGAAAATTATTTTTAAAAAAACAAACAGCTAATTTTTCCCAAAGGAAAAATTTCCTAATGCTATAACTAAAGAAAAGCATAATACCAGACTTAAAAGTGAAAAACTTTACTGTTACAATGCTTTTACCACCAAAATCATAAGCTGTGTCAAGCTTCAAATACAATTTGTGTGCAGGAATTCAATGAGGTTCAGTGAAAAATAAGATTAAGAGTTAAAAGTCCCAAGTTCCAGGTACAGGTTCTGACAGCAACAAACGAACTATTCTCCTCAGGCAAATTACTAAACCCACTGATCATCATTCTCCTTAACTATGAAAAATAACAACCAAAAATACCTATGAATTAAATGATTTCTAATGTCCCTTCTGTTTTTAACATTATTTTAGATTATTTAGATTATATTATTTATTTTTATATTATATATTTTTATTTATAATAATATAATTTATATTATATATAATATAATATATAAATAATATATATTATTTAATATTTAATTCAATTTTAAATTTTAATTTTTAATTAATTTAATTAATATTTTATTTAATATTTAATATATATTATACATAATATATAAAATTATATATAAATAAATAATATAAATTATATATAAATATACACATTATATATAATAAATATATTTATATTTTATTGGATATATTTAAACAGTATATTATATAAATAAATATATAATAAATATATAAATAATAATGTGATTTATATACAATTATTATTTATATTATATAGATATAAAACATGTTTTAACATGTTTTAGATTATTCTAATAATAGCTATGGAAAATCCATTTAAGGTATGAATTACTCCTTTATTTTACAAATGTGAACACTTCAATCCACTAAAATAAATCACTTGATTTCTCACCAAAAACAGAACTTGTCCAGGGCAATAACTGGTCACTTTACTTTGTATTTTCCAGGTCAAAGCCTGACACATAGTAGTATCTGTTTAATAAATGGACACAGCCCTTTCCAACATCCCATAGGTACAGTGACTTACACTGTCCACAATATTCCATGGATATTTAAAATAAATTATTTGAGATGGCTTAACATGTGTATTAAAATCCGCTTAGCTCACTTAATCAAGAATAAAATCTTATAATAAAAGGGCCTATGTCAATAATTTTGCTTTTTTGTTGAATTCATTTATGGGCTTCATGCTCAGTGATCCTATTTTTAAAATGTGACGTCATAAATTGCATGTCACTGCAAAACAGCTGAAATCCTCACTTCCCCACATGAATACTTTATCTATCACTCTTTTGGTTTTTCACAGGTACTTTGCACTACAGCTATTCATATTCATGTTTTGGCTTTCCCTGTTGAATAGAAAAAGAACTGAAGCTTATATATACTTGAATTCTCAGTGCATGCTGTGGGATTATCTTACAAGTAAACTCAATAAAGAATTGTTATCTTTCTAATCAAGAGTTAAAAAGAATTCATTTGAAAAAAAAGGATCCATATTATACCTATCATGACCAGATAAACAATTCTTACCAGAAAATAAAGTGAGAGACATATTAAATAATTATGTCAGATGACATATGAACTTGAGGCATATGAGACTTACAAAGTCTAGTACAGAAGTGTTTATGGACTAAGGTGAGTATGTGCCGTGCTTCAGTCTTCTGATTTACCTGAAAAAAACACTGAAAAGTTAAAAATAAAGTGTTTTTTCATTATCTTTCTAAATTTAGTGTTTTATTTTCTAAATTTTTCTCATCAAAAAGAAACCACAGTAGACCTTTCTTTTCAATATACATTTAATTACATTATAGAAAATGTCAACTTATATGCTGTCTTTCACATCAACATTCCTAAATCAATTCCTAATTATAAACTTAAGGCAAAATTTTAAAAATATTACAACAGCCTTATTTGTCATTTTTTTTAAACTTTTGTATAAATGTACATAAAACAATCTTCTCCTAGAAAAAGAGAGGGCACCTGGGTGCCTCAGTTGGTAAAGTGTCAGCCTTCAGCTCAGATCATGATCCTGGGTTCCTGGGATTAGTGAGATGTAGCTGAGTAGAGTCTAACTCTGAGAGAAAGATTTAATTAAAACTCCAGTATTCGGGCGCCTGGGTGGCTCATTGGGTTAAGCCTCTGCCTTCGGCTCAGGTCATGATCTCGGGATCCTGGGATCGAGCCCCGCATCGGGCTCTCTGCTCAGTGGAGAGCCTGCTTCCCCCTCTCTCTCTGCCTGCCTCTCTGCCTACTTGTGATTTCTCTGTGTGTGTGTGTGTGTGTCAAATAAATAGATAAATAAATAAATAAATAAAACTCCGGTATTCTTCACTATGTTTATTATTTCTGAAGCTTTTTTTCAAAGTTTTCCTTTACATGATTTCAAAGCCTAGAAACGTGTCAGTTTCTTTCCTGGAATAAATAAATCTCTTTCTGATTTGTAGTAACTAGAAGCCAATTTTGTTAATGAAATAATAAAAATAATAAAGATACATACTACTATGATTCAGTAGATTTTTTCTTGTTTTCAAAGAGGTGGCATGTAATAAGGCATATTAACACTATAGTTAAATTAACCTTTGGTAATTCAGAAGAAACCTCAGCATATTAAAGAGATTGCTTCAAGTTAGTTTAGTGAACACCAACTGCTGTGGTACTAAGGACAAACAAGAGTATCAATTAACAGGAAATTCAAATATAAAACTAAATAACAAAATTTGGTTGCTAAACAAAAAAAAAAAAAAAAACCCCAAATATCACAGAAAAATATAGTCAATCACAAGTCTTTTTTTTTAAAGTCAGTCAGTGTAATCCCTTTTTGTATTCCCAAAATAAGAACTCCAAACCCTATAGTATTTTCAAAGGGTAAAGAAAGATTAAAAATAGAATCACTGATAATTCAAATGGAAAGGAAATATATCAAAATAATACTGACACATACTCTTCTTGTTGTATCCTGGCAACATATCCAATCCAATGACATTTTAAAACAGAGGCAAACACAGTGAAGCCACCTTGCTTCAACAACTTAAAAATAAATTAATGCTAAAATCTCTGTTATGTTTATTTGTGCATGTGCACACACCTTAAAAGAAAAAGCAGCATTTCCTGGCTTTCCTTTAATTACCATGAACAGAGAATCCAAAGAACTAATTAAAACAAAACAAAATTTTTCCTTCTACGATTTTTTTAAAAAATAGATTCCAGGGGCACCTGGGTGGCTCAGTGGGTTAAAGCCTCTGCCTTCGGCTCAGGTCATGATCCCAGGGTCCTGGGATCAAGCCCCGCATCACGCCCTCTGCTCAGCAGGGAGCATGCTTCCTCCTCTCTTCTCTCTCTCTGCCTGCCTCTCTGCCTACTTGTGATCTCTATCTGTCAAATAAATACATAAAATCTTAAAAAAAAAAAAAAAAATAGACTCCATACCCAGCACGGAGCCCAAAGTGGGCCTCAAACTCACGACCCTAAGATCAAGACCTGAGCTGAGATCTAGAGTCTTAGAGCTTAACCAACTGAGCCTCCAAGGTGTCCCTCTTCAATAATTTTTATATGAAACTTCTTGAATGATTTAACATGAAAAGAACAATTGCAATAAATGTTTCATTACTTACTGGTTCTTCTTTAACAACTAAGCATAAATCACCATCACTGCTCCGGGTACCAAATCCATTTAGAGAGGACCCAACCAAAAAAAGCCTGCTTTCTAGAGAAACAGAATGGAATTATAAGGTATTATTTAAAATTTAAAGTAGGAATGCATATACAAAGGGCATGCAAAATAGGTAAACATACGTGGAAATAACAGCTGAATTTCTCTCTGTAGCTGTGTTCGACATAGTTCTTTCTTCTTTAAATCACTTACTTGCTGCTGACATGCTTCAAATAACTCCAGTATCTGCTGACTCAACTTGAATCCACCGCAAAAAAAGCAAAAATTTTGTTCAGAAATTTAAAGTAATTATCATACTAAGAAGTATAAAACAACACTACCAAAAGTATTTTAAAAATGAGTATTTATTATCTCCTTAACACTTTCCAAACTACTGTCACTCAACAGTTACTTAAAAACTGAAATAGTTACTAACTTTTCCGAAGTATCATTGATAAAACACAGAAAAGTACAGTTGGTCACAGAAAATTCTTAATGAGTATAACCCATGGCACAGCAAACTACAATCTTCACTTGCTGCCATGTTTAGCACATGAGCTAAGAATGGTTTTTGAATTTTTAAAAGGTAGTAAAAACAAACAAGTAAAGATATGCAACAGAAATATATGAGTGGCAAAGTCTAAAACAGTTACTATCTGTCTTTTAAAAAAGTTTGCCCAACCCAATATTCATACCACCAATAATATTAACAAACTTTTAGAAGAAAAGCCCCTGGTTGTCCTTGCCCATGCAAACCACCCTCTTTCCCCATTTTTACAGTACTGGCCTGAACCTTGTCTTCTTGTTGCCACCTATAGATAGAGATCTTGCTCATTTACCTATCTGGTTCACACTTTCCCCTACAACCCAACTCTCAACCATCATCACAACTAATTTCCTCATCTACAATGGGCTAGATATCTCAACATACTCCCACCATTTCTGAACTTCTCTTACTTCAATATTTTTCATCAGGATCACTCCCACAGCCATAACATGGCCTTTACAATGAAAAAGAACAGACCACTGATATTTTAAATTCCAATATACTATCTTGGCTTCAATCTCCTGTCCAATTCTTACTTTCTTACTCCCCTCATACCTGCTCCAGAACCACACAGACCTGGAGTCCTCTGAATCCTCCCTTTTTCCCCAGCTCATTAGCACCTGAATGGTATAATTTGCTTCCCTGTCCAGTCTATATCACAAAGTCCATCCCTTGAACCACTCTTTTATCATGCTTTAACATTATTCTCTAGTCATGCTCAGTCTAACACCTGTCCTGAAAAATCCTTAGCTCTTATATCAGAACATAAAACTGAAAAAAATTTTAAAATCACAAAACTGATATCTTTCAACTTTATATTTTAAAGCCTAGCCTAAGGTTAGTCTTTAGCATCATTCAGACTTCCATACCTCTAGTCAGAGGTATGGTTTCATTTTTCATCATCATCATTCTAAAATCTTTACTTCTTTCCTCAAGTCCCCTATACTTACCTTATTCTCTTTAGCAAATAACTTCACATAAAGTTTACTAAGAAAATTGAAAATAGCAGATATAACATTCCTCAGCTTGCTAACTGCAAACTTTTTGCAAACTAACACATCTGAATGAATCTCATCTCTTTACCCCTTCTGTCAGACAAACTGTTTTCTTCCCCTGTTCAAAGTTAATACTTCTACCAAAACTTGTACCAAGCCTCCTGGTCCCTTCCAGGGCACAAATACTTCCATCAGTTTTTCCAAATCTCTCTTGCATTTTCAACCTCTCCCTCTCTAGGCCTTCCCCATGACCAGGCACAACTCTCACCCATCATTTAAAATGTTTTCTTAAAACAGACAAAACAAAGAAACAGACTCATACACACAGAAAACAAAGTGGTGGTTGTCAAAAGGAGGGAGTGGAGGAATGGCAAAATAGGTGAGAAGAATTAAGAGATAAAATTTTGTTACAGAATAACTACGTTATAGGTTTGAAAGGTGGGACATAGGGAACATAATCAATGATATTATAATTTATAACTTTACACTGTGACAGAATAATTACACTTAATGTTGTGAGCATTTCCTAACATACATAATTGTCAAATCACTATATTGTACACCTAAAACTAATATATTATTATATGTCAACTGTACTTCATTAGAAACAAATTTTTTAAATAAAAAAATGAGTTTTTAAATAGACTGACAAAAAAATAAGTAAACAAAACATTGTCTTTTGTCATGTTTAGAATACACATTTTAAGAAGGCAGAGGCAGTCTGGGCAATTAGGCAATGAAAGAGACATCATTTTTTAATATCCCTTTGACAACAATATTAATATACTTAACATTACTATTTTAATAGTTTTTAATAACCTCCCTCCAAAAATAGAGCAACCAGAAAAAAACAAACATATGAAACCAAACCAAAATAAAATAAAACAGGGCTAACAAATACAAATGATTACATATTACTCATGAACCCCAAAATATGAGCAATTGGGACCAAATACCAATAGCAGCAAGACCCATTAAGAAGAAGAAAAGGAAAAAGATTTTGGACAGTCCTAAAGTGAGACCATCCAGAAATCAAACTGCCTATAGGTAGTACTTCCTGACCCTTTCCTCAAATTGAGGAATCCAATTCAGAGTAGAACAGCAACCAAAACTGGGGGAGAGCTGCATAGACTATACCCAAGAGTTCACAGGTAAATGCAAGAGGATCACAGAAAGATCAGAAATCTCAAAACAAAGTGAAAGCTTCTTTCTTAGAGCAACACACCAGCAGGAACCACCAGGAAGAGAAATCTAAACTAAACAGTAGAGAGCCATAGGGACAAAGAAAACACAGTCCAGAATGAAAATGATTATGACTCCCAGGGGCATCTGACAACGTCTGGCAACATTTTTAGTTATCATAACTGGAGGGAAGACACGTGCCACAGGGTGGTCACTGGAATCTACAAGTGAGAGGCCAGGATGCCACTAAATAGCCTACGACGAATAGGACAATCCCTCATGGCAAAGTTTATCTGACCCAAAATGCTGAAAAATCCTAGTCTAGATAAAAGTTAAGAGAAAGGAGAGAAAAGGTCTCAGAAAGTGTATTTCTGAATACTGCATAACTAGACAAGAGGATTCCTAAAGCCATATATCTAGGAAAGCTAGTCTGCCCAACCATCCTAATTTAAAACTAGTACAGGAAAAGGCACCTCACTTTTATTTGTATTTGTTAAATGCAAATTTTGGTATCTCAGAAAGAAAGGTGAGAATAAGAGGACAGAAAAAAATAATGCCTAAAAAGGACTCTGGTCAATTCTTTGTCAATTTTTTGTCTTTTTGGGTTTTTGTTTTGTTTTGTTTTTTTGTTTTCTTCTCTTGCTTTATTTTTTAAAAAGATTTATACATTCATCTGAGACAGAGAGATACAGAGAGAGAGCTTGAGCAGGGGGAGAAGCAGGCTGAGAAGGAGCAGCAGACTCCCTGCTAAGCTGGGAGCCCAACATGAGGCTCAATCCGAGGAGCTGGAGATCATGACCTGAGCCCAAGGCAGATGCCCAACCATCTGGGCCACCCAGGCACCCTTCATATAAAGTTTTTGTAAGAAAACTGAGAATACAGTAACACTCCTACAGATAATAAAGCACACCATAAAGACCTGTCCACAAAACTACTGGAAATTTAAACATAATATATCAAACCAAAGCTCTTTCTCTTATGTTTTAATTTTCCAAAAAGATAAGTAACTATAAAGCATATATACTAGTACTAAAAAAAAAATTTGGAAATCTACATATTAAAACCTTATCAAAGGCAGCAAAAAACAGTAAGTATTTAGAAATATATTTACAAAAGATATATGAAAATTGTATACTTAAAATTATTAAGTACTGATGTGGGAAATTAAAAATCTAAATAAATGGAGAGCTATACCATATTCACGGATCAGGTAACTATTGTTAAGATGTTAATGCTCCTGAAATTAGAGTCAATACCATCAAAATAAACTAAAATACCCAGGAGGTTTGTTTCTAGAAGTTGAGAAAGTAACTTTAAATTTTATTTGAAAGGCAAAAGACCAAGAATAGCCAAAAAAAAAGGGGGGGGGGGTAGAAAGTTGGAGAATTTGCCTTACTTATTTACTGTAACAGTTACAGTAAACAAGAAAGAAAAGTATGGCATAAGCAAAAGGACAGATTAAAAAGATAACAAAAAATGCTGAAATATTCATGAATATAATATACCTTTCATGTACTTCACACTAATGAGGGAGACAGGTATGGATGAAATAAAATTCATAGTTATTTTGGTAGTTTTCAAAGCTCAGTGATATGAAGATTTATGTCACTATATTCTATTTTTGCATATATTTGATATTTTCCATAAAAACCTTTTTAAAAGCATCCAAGTTTATAAAAGATTTGAAAGAAGTTGCCAGTAAAGTGGTTAATATCAAATTTTAAATAACACTTGAACTTGAGTTTTATTCATTTGCAGAACTGGCAAACTACAGCCTGTAAGCCAAATACTGTCCCTGGACTGTTTTGCAGAGGCAGTAACAAAATAATTTTTGTATTTTTTAAGCATTGTTTCAAAAAGAGAGAAAAGAAAAAAGAATATTTAACAGAGGGACCCCACATACCCCATTATGTCTAAAATATTTACTAGTTGGCCCTTATAGAAAAAGTTTTGCCAACCCCATGATCTAGAATCAGGCCGATCAATACAATCCTAGAACTAATAGTAGGTACTATCCTACATATGACTACTTTTCTTGGGTAGCAAGAAGAAATTTCTTCATAACAATGCTCATATTTAAGAAGTTCTTTCATCCAAATGATATCCATATAGAAACATTCCTATACAAAAAATTTATGATTATGTGAAAAATATAAAATTCTATATACTTGTTCCTTTCCCTTTTTTTACATTCATGGAAACATTTCTTCTCTTTTAAGTACTGCTATAACAGAGAACTAACAGGTTTCTATACAAAAGAATTCTCCTCACTATCTAGCTATTTACTTAGGGATTCACATTATCAAATTATGTTCCTGCATCCTAGAACAGACCATTATAGAATATAGAGTACAAATGAAACAAAATGCAAAATAAATGTACATACATGCTGAAATATGACTTCTACTACTTAAATTTAGAGAAATATTTCAGAAGATGGATCAATGTTCTTATAATTCAGAGGGGACAGAATGTATGATATGAATTCTCCTCGGCTGATAAATATCAGTCATCAAATATTCAAATCATGTATG